GTAACTTTAACTAAGTACTTGCATGACTCTTCCTGGCCAGTGGTCCATCCTGCTCTCACCTGGGATCTGTAGGCACAGGAGATACAGCAAGCACAATGGTAATTCCAACCCAAGGCATAACATTCAGTGGAGCATTTGATGAAAAGCCCAATGGGAGGCCTTTGCCCCCTGCACTTTTAAGATGGCCCCACATGCCTACTCACAGTCTGCAGCTGCAACAAAGGAATCTCTTACAGTTCTGATAAAAACCTAAACCTCATTCCACTTCACCCTTCCACAACAAGGCTGAAATTCATACCATTTGGAGCTCACTATGGGGTTTGTCTTAGGGATGTAATTTTGCTCATTGTGGACCTTATCATTAACATTTCTAAAAATAAAAAATGCATTTACTATCAGACTAGAATTTTCATGTATTATTTTATATAATAAATAGGAACAATGAGACACTGGTATAAAATAGATTGTGCTATCTCCTTCTTAGAGAGCTCTAGAAGAAGCATCAGCACTAGAGCCAGCCCTAGACACAACCCTGCAGCAGCCTTTGGTATTCAGAAATTGGACCTCCTTGAAGAATGAGCCACCCCTGAACGTTCCCAGGGTTCTCAAAGCCTGGGAAGGAGACTGACGCCTATAGACAGACAGTCTCTCTCCTCAGGCTTCATCTATGAGCTCAGCAATCCTCCAGACACTGGCAGATGTTTCCCCAGGTGACCCTTCTCTTTCCTGTCACTGGATGTCAGAGTCTATGGTTACAACCACAGACCCACCCACAGACAGGCCATACATACACAGGAAGGTTTTTCATGGAGCCCTTTTCATTTGAAAGGCATGGAGGCCTATGATTCTTTGGCAGTGAAGAATGGGTTTGATGGTGAGGGATGGAGAGAAAAAACTCAAGGCTAGAATTAGTTTGTTGTTTCTTGATGGTAAAACACTATTTTATGGATTGTGTTTGTACAGTATTTTATAGTTTACAAAGTTCATGAAATACAATGAGCCTTTTAAATCCTCACAACATCAATACAAGAGAAGCTTATTAGCTTCATTTTGTAGCTGAGGTTCTGTAGCTTGCCAAGGTCATTCAGGTTAATCCAGGGCTCACACCCAAGTCTTCTAGTTTTGGCATCACTGTTCCCCTTCATAGAAGCTTATGGAAGAAAGAATGAATGAATGACTCTCCCTAGCTAGATACTATAGAAGATATAGAAAAGCAAATAGTTTCCAGGGAACTGAAGGTAACTCCCCTCTTCTCTCCTCACACCCACCCCACAACCACAGTCAGACAGTGGAATTTAATTGGCACCTATTGTAGGTTTTGCAAGAATAGATGAATTACATTTCAAATAGTGCCAGTGATACTTGAAAACCAACAAAAGGATATGGTCTCCCAAGGTGTATTCTAGGGCCCAAAGTGTGGCTTCTTTTGCAAAACATCCCATGGAAGCACTAACTTTTAATTCATACCACCAAGGAGATATTTGATTGTTTCCTGGAAATGCTAATAACACAAAGCTCATAAATACTAATGAAACACTATAGATTAGCAAAGCTCAGCAAGTAACCTAGGGGGCTAGAAGAGAATTCTTAGATTAAAAAATATAAAGAATACCTTTTAATCGAATTTTCCCCAGACTGGGCTCCCAAATATTAATGAATACTCTCTTTGGCTGTGCGGAGAGCCAACTCTAATAAGTAGCTTTAGGAATGCAGAAGTGAGTTATTGACTTAGCTTTAGCTTGAAAAGAAATTTGTTTATTCGAAGGCTATTTTGGGTGCCATGGGATGGACAAGTTTAAGACAAAGGTGGGGGGGAAGGGTTGGAGGGCCTAAGACATTGAGGTAAACACATAATTCAAATGAATGCTTCTATTTCAGCCAACTAAGCAATCCAAGTTGAAATTTGCTTATTATATTTGTCTTTTATGACTTGAACCTTCAATAATAAGAACTCCCCTGGAATATACAAGGCTCCATGATGTCAGAAATCGTAACTTTGTTATTCATTACTGAATCCACAACACCTAACACAGAGTGTGGCACATATTAAGTATCCAATAAATGGATAAAGAGCTCTCTTAAAACATTTTCCAGTACTTTTCACATCTTGTGATCTTTTCTTAAAGGATGGCTCTGATCACAATGTTCTCCAGTTATAAAAGCTCCCAAATAAACACAAATACCATCTCTACCCTGACCACAGTTTACCCTTCTAGCCTGTCTTCCAGTTTTCTCCTCTCCCATCCTGAGCCCCAGGATCATAAATAGACATACTATTCTCCCACTCATGTTCTAGAAGTTTTTGTGCCTGGAATGTTTAAACATCCTTTTTACCCATTTTCTTTTTCAAAATCCTTCTCATATTTCAAGTATTTTACCTCCATGAAAAGGCCCTAATATTCTCCAAGAACTCCCCTAGCTGACCCCAAGAATAGGCTCCTGCTGTCTTTCTGCTTCCTACAGGGGCCATTATGACCCAATGCAGAATAATTTATCAATAATTGTGATGGTGATGTCACTAGCATGAATCACATAACTACTGTGCAAGAAGCACTTGATCCCAGGGAGGCTAAGTATGGGGTCAAATTATAAATTATCACCCAAAGTCTTCCCACAACAGAGTAGAAAAAATAATTGCAGATAAGTTAAAAAAAAAAAAACCCAAAACTGGGCCATACACAGCTAAGGTAAAGGCAAAGGTTATAGCAAAGGGAGAAGGAAAATCCAGACAAGGCAAGTAGTGTGAGAGACTACTGAGGGAATACCAAGTGCTGCTTTTGTCTCCAAAGGGCCTGGAGGCTTAATGGTGCATGGGGGTAGACCCATGTCATGAGATGTTCCCAGGCCCTCAGAGGTACTTGGGCAGAGCCTCTAGTGAGGGGATGTGACTTCTCAGAGCACTTTTCTTTGTTAGTATTGAATTTAACTTTAGGCAGTCATATGCTTTCTATAAACCTGCACTTAGGCAAGGTCTGAGTTTTATTTTGTGTTACTTTATCCATTTGGAAAGTGTCTAGCAATGGAAAGTAAATCTCTTTGCAGCCTTTTTTTACAATAGACTGGAATAAATGTTTAAGTGAGTCTGGGGAATCGCCAAGGATTGTAAGATTCAGCAAATCCTGGGCTGCTTGCCAAAAATGGGTTAATTCCATACAAAGGAATAGGAGGAGCAATGCCTGTGAACAACTCACCCCTTAGAGATCTGGAGCCAAACTCCCCAGAATGAACAAGGCCAACTCTGCCACACAGTCACTATGTGACTTGTGCCTCCGTATCTTCAGCTATAGGATGGGGGAATAACAGTATCTATTTCATTCTGTTGTGATGAAGATTAAATGAGTTAATAGATAGAAAGTATCTAGAACTGTATCTGGCATAAAATATGTGCTTAATAAAAGTTAGCTAAAATTATTGTTATCTTCTTATACTATTCAGTCTCTGCGGTTCAGAGGGCACAGTAGTAAGTGCCAATTTGTATAATTGCAAAAAATGTGCAAATAATGCCAGCGGGGGTGGGTCCACATGCCAGCAGACTAGGACTAAGGCACAGGGACTTGATAGGCACTGGGTATAGGACATTTATATAGCATGTTATTCAAGGAATTAGATCTCCAGGGACAACCCTTTGTACAAATGCCACCCAGAAAGGCCACACCTTTTATGCTCCAGTGTGGGGCAACAGAATTAAGTCTGAACTAGCCTTAATTCTGAACCCAGGCCCCCTGGTGCTTTTATCCATAACCATGGCACCATCCTGTTGCTCACTTCAAAGGTAAAATTCTCTAGCTACCTGAAGAAACATGAGTTCAAGCCCAGCCTGAATAACAAAATGAGACCCTGTCTCAAAAAAAATACATGTGAAGGTGACTAGCAAAATACAACACAAAGTAACATCTTTATCATCCTTATTCCTCCACTTGCCTAGCATTCTGTTAGTGTTAGACTCATTACACAGAAGTCTGGTTGCTCACTGTAGCTCCGTGCAACCTCAAAAATATCACCTCACCACTTTAGACCCCATATTTGTCATCTTTAATTGAGAGAGTTGGGTGGGATGATCTCTAAAGCCTTCAACCTAAAAACCAATGACTCTTTGTATTTGGGTCCAAGGCAATGTCTTATACTGAGAGGTCTCTTAAACTTCTTTGAATCATACCTGTCCTCAAAGTCTTGTTTGGATACAAGCTCCTCTGGTTTCTAGAGTCCACAGGAGCCTCAAGACCTTATACTTGAGAAATGAACCTTAAGATATATGTGGACAAGTGGAGAGGTGACAAAGGAAAAGGAGCTGCTCTGTATAAGAACAGAAGAGCAGTCCTTGCTATATACTGAGTTCAGGATAGGAGCACAGGGGAACACAAGGTCCCACACCAGTTTGCAAGATATTGCAAAGCTCCCTTCTCCTAAGAAGAAAGGGAGCAGTCAGAGAAAGAAACTTTAGAATATGTGAGGGATGGAAAACAGAGGAGGGTCAAGAGGGAGAAGAGGTAAAAAGCACAGGGTACAAGTAGGATGTAAGGAGGGAAGGAGACATGGAGCAGGGAAGAGAGCAAAAGGGACAATAAGGAAGGCAGGAGTGAGGCAAGATAAGAACTGATGATCTCTTAGATTGGAGAAGGCCCCTTTCATAGGCAGCAAGATGTAGACATTTCAGCTCTCCCACTACCTAGGCTTTAGTAAGCATTGAAAATGGCAAACTATTTCGTAGAAGGTGAGATACAGAACTGTCCCATGGGGAATATGTGTCCAGCATCTGTCAGATGAGCTGTCATGGAGAAAAGATTGAGAAGTGCTATTGTAAAGGATACAGAGAGCCAACTCCAACCAGAATACTGGATATCAAATTGATTCATTTATCTAACCACTGCATATCACCTACTGTGTGCTGGATTTAATATATTAATTCTTTTATTCTAAGCCCAATATCATATGTGTGCATAGCAAGAACTGGTTAATGCTATTGACTAAGTGCATGCATTTATCTTGTTTAATCTCTTCAGGTGCTATTGGTGGCATGCTCTAACCCAAAGCTGAAAGAGGAATAAATTCCAAGTGGCCAAGGCTGGGTCCTCTTGAGCCCAGAACTTACTAAAGAATTGCGAGTCTTCAGCACCACACTAGCCAAGTACTATGGAGAATATCAGCTCCTTCTTCAACAATATCTGGAAAACCATCCTGACCAAACACCAAGAGGGCATCTTCAACACCATCTGCCTGGCCGTTCTCCTGGGACTGCCACTACTGGTGGTCCTCACACTCCTCTTCATCTGTTGCCATTGCTGCTGGAGCCGGCCAGGCAAGAGCAGCAAACAACCAGAGCAAAACAAGAGGAAGAAGAAGAAGAAAAAGAAGAAAGATGAAGAAGACCTCTGGATCTCTGCTCAGCCCAAGCTTCTCCAGATGGAGAAGAGGCCATCACTGCCTGTCTAATGAGGAAAGAAGCAGCAATGTCTTCCCTCTGGGGCCAGGCCTCTTTCCAGTAATACAGAGACTAGGGAGAAGGAATCCTTGTAGTGACATGCTCCTGCCCACAGACTACTCAGCCAAGGAGCAAATCTGAGTGTCTCAGTGTAGGGGAGCACATGGAAAATTCTTGCACTATCTCGGCAGCTATGTGTTCAATACCAGTGCTCTTTGCTATAGACCCAGACATGCATTACACCTGTTTTTGACATACTCCAAACACAAAAGAACACTTACCTATGCATCTTATATGGCTTCCAAGTATACATACCTATCCATCACACATTCACAAATTCAGATAACAGATACATGACAAATCCATCAAGTGACCATTGAATATGTACTTTGTGCAAGGCAGTACATTGTATACACTTACTGAAATGTCTCATGGGAGGGCATGGCCAATTTAGACACATATATACAACTATATAGCCAAGCAACATTCCCAGGCCATGTCTGTTCCATATGTCACTCAGGTTGGAGATGTGTGCTTTCCTATTCCTATACCTACATAGCTTTTTACTGGAAATACTCAGATTTGGACATTCCAGAAACCTGATATAGTCCCCACCTGTTCTTATGCTTTCTGACCCCTTACCTGGGCCTAAAAGTTTAAGCTATGATGGATCAAAATTTATTGAAATCTCTTTTCTTGAAACTCATGACAAAGTCCTCATTACCACTGACAGGTGTTTAATGCAGGCCACTACCCCATAACCACTCAGCAAGGTGCCCTTTTATAAGCAAGAACAATCAACTCTTGGCAGTGACTACTAGAAAGGTATGGAAACCTACTTAATCACTTCAGTGGACTGTAGTTGTATACCTGTGCAATGTATGTACAGATAGAAAGGGTAAGGAGGTACTGCATCTGAGCTAGGTATCTTCTGTGTAACCAAAGTTTTCAGTAGGGAAGGCACTAACACAATCACCAGGACAGTCTCAATGAGGGCATACTAGAAATTATTTCATAATGTTGTAATGGTGCGTGGTATGTAGTAAGTGGAATGAAGAAGTAACAGTTTAAATGAAAGCAGGATAAAGCTATAAAGAAGTTTACTACTATTTATCTTGAAGCTCAGGCAAGTGTCTTGCACACAGTAGGTACTCATAAGTGTAGTTGCTATTGAATATATGATAATATTAAGGGTAAACTTATAATACCTCACCAATCCACCCTTAAGTGACCTTCTCTTCTAAGAGATGCCACCAGTTGCTGCAATGGATGAACTAGATAGGTATTAAGACTAGAGTTAAGTTGATTCATGTTCCCTGAGGCATGAGAGGACATGTCAACCAGATCTGTCCTAAATTGAAGAGAGCTCCACACTAGGCTGAGATTGGGAGGCAGAATTAATCCATCTGTATGATGAACTGGTTTGTATTTTGATCATATTATGACATATTATAAAGATGAATAATTCCAAATTTAGGAATAAGTTGTACTCTAAGTTCATTTGCGAATCTGCTGGGGTGCGCTCTCGAAATATTTTCCCATGGAATCCACAGTGGTAAAACCACTTTCTAATTACTAGCATAGCTAAACTATGAAATTTATAGTAGCAAAAACCTAAATTTGATAAGACTGTGTGAATGGTAAGGTGTACTGTGTTTGCTCACTTGGGGCTACCTGGTACTCCAGACCTTTGTAGGGTAGACTTCTGGTGGTAACTCTTGCCCCACAGTTTTCTAACAGAAAACCCTGTGAATCCTAATTTAGACCTACATGTATTTTAGAGCCAGTCAACTTTACCCCTCACCCTACATAGCCCTAAATTCCATAGGCACTCAGACCCCCCACTCATAACCCCTTTGGCCAGAGAAAGAAGCACTTTCTGATTCTCTGTCTCCTTGTCATATGGAGAGCTTGTTGTGCAGCATCTAGCACACATGGCATTACCGTTCCCATCTCCAACTCAAAGTCTTCCTAAAATGGATGACTTTGGGGAGACATAGAGGCTGATGTCAGTTATGATCTGGAGAGTGGATCACCAGGATCAGGTACCATCCAAGTGAAATCGTTTCCATGGCAACTGGCTGCCAGTTTGCATTAAGGCAGCAGTCAGTTGTCATTGCCGTGACAAGGCCTCTGTCTCCAGGCTCAGTGTCCCTACTGTCTCCTAATCAAATAGACTTGCACCAGGTCCAGGCAGAGACACCCAGAAAGTCACTTCTCAGTTGTTTCCATAGCCTGGGACTCAAGGGACCCAAACCCGAATAGGACTTACTCCCCACCCCCCAGCCTTCTAGGCAGCCTTTGTGGAGTCCCTAGAATGGGACAGTGCTGGTGATAGGGCCTCACACTCTTGCTGAATAATGGGAATGTGAAGGAGCCAGAGGCAATGTATGGTGTCCTCTCTCTTTTCTTCCCAATTTATTCTTACCTTCTCCATTCTTTTCTTGTTCCCTTTTCTCCCTGCTCCATGCCAGTTCCATCCCTTTATTCCTCTCTACTTTTTCTCTTTTCTTCCCAACCTCTGTTCCAGAACTGCCATTAACACCTGGAGGGGGACCTCAGGCCTGTGCCTACTTAGCTCCTTTGGGGAGGTTTAGTCAATGGGGGACAAAAGAGGGGCTTCATAAAGAAGAGGCCACCTAAACTCACACAGGCTCAGGAAGGGAGGTCCTCCCACCCAGACGTCTGACCAGCCTCAACCAGACTCAGACACATCAGAAGAGGTCTTTTCTCTGTCGTTCAATGGATTTGCTTTTTTTAATTAATATCTTGTGAGGGAAAGAGGGAAATGTAAAGAAAGGACAGTCACCTTTGAAGAAGAATATATAAGTGATCAAAGTTGTATAGTATTTGTCAGTATTTTTCTGCAAAATTTAAACACATACAAAAATTTATTTAAATAAATATTTTGAAAATGAAATGGCATGCCTGGCCTCTTTACTTGCTGGAATCAGTCACTTCCTTAACTTTAGGTATGACAGTGATCACTCAGAAATGATGGATCAGGGAACTCTCCCTCTGGAGCACAAAAGGCCCAGCCTTTTTCCCAGCAGAGTCATAGGTCAGAGAACCAGGAATGTGGCTTTCTTATCCCCTCTTTGCAATCCAGACAGCCTCAGAGCATGAAATTCTCAGCAGTGCCAGCTGCAGAAAAACACAGTGATGTTCCCTGGCAACACCTACAGAACTTTCCCTTCAATGAGGTCAAGCAATGTCTTCTTACAGGAAAAGGGGAATAGCAAAGACCTAGGAAAATTAGACCTCTGGGTTAATCTGGGCAGGAAAAGACCAAGAACCTCTATGGCAGCCCAGGGTGTGCGCATGTGTGTATGTAAATGTACAACTTATTTTCAAGTCAGCCATAGCTTTGCATTGGTTTCATGAAATGATTTAGCTTGCTCTCTTGATGGTACAAAGCTTGCCAATATAGCAGAAGCCGCCTAGAGCAGTGCTGTCCAAAAGCACCAGGATGATAGAAATGTTCTCTATCTTCCCTATCTAACATGGTACCATTAGCCACCTGTGGTTGTTTAACTTCATTAAAATTAAATAAAATTAAAGGTCCAGTCATATTTCAAGTGCTCAGTAGCCACCTGTGGTTAGTGACTCCCATCCTGGACAGCATAGGTCTGTAATCTTAGGGGATCATGAACTCTATGCTGGTATTGGCAAAAAGCTGCAAGAACTATTTTAACAAGGGCTTAGGAGGGAGCCTATAGCACAGCCTCACATTTTGTCTGTTTCTCCCAATGCAGGCTATTTCTGAAGTTCTCATCGATTCCTGAGCTCCCTTTCTCATCACCACACACCCTCTGACGACCAGGAAACAGAGGCTTCATCCCAGAGACCCTGCCTTGCCGGGTCACTGCTTTTTCCCAGCAGAGTCATAGTCATCCAGCTTCCCATTCATTCCCCCAAAACATCCCAAAACTTTCCAATATCCAGAAGTCACCTGGAAGGTGCTGCCCACCTGAGAGGAGCCCAAGTGAAATGCCATCAGCCCACAAGCCCAGTCTGGCCCACATGCGGGGTCTGAATATGGGATTACACAATGCTACCATCCATCAGCATTCTTCACTATCCAGAGCACTTCTACAATGGTCCCTTGCCCTTTGACCTTAACATTATTCCTAAATTCAATATCACACGATTACATGACTGAACAAAGAATTCCCTCAGCCAGCTTTCTGTTTCTGTCATAGATTCAAAGGGATGTTTTCAATACTGCTGTGGACAACCCCACAAAGTGACTATTTAAGAATGGCATGACATAAATCTAGCCCCCTCTTGAGGCTATTTCTTCCATAAATAATTTTGCCTATATGTTTTGTGCCAAGCACACTAGGTACCAGTGATGCAAAGTTGTCCTAGATGAAAGGCAAACAGACCACTACAATATGGTGTGTCATTGCTTCCTTACAGGGATGCCCCAAGGCTGGGATCAAGACAGACTGATGGGGCGATCACATGAGAACAGAGTGTTGCACAGGCAGAAACTCAGAAAGAAGGGCATCATTTGCATATCATCAGCATGAAGGTCACCGTGGAATAGCAACGTAGAGTAGTCTAAGGAGGATCATTTGGAAGCTTTCCAGGCTCCCAGAAGCCCAGAAGTGCCAAGGGTGAGGACTCAGGAGCAGGGTAAGCCCAACCTGATACTAACTCAACTGTCACTGGTTATGTGATTTAGGCTCATGACTTAATTGCTCTGTTAAGATTTGTCTGCAGAATAGAACTAATGATAGTCTCTATCTCATAGGGATGAGATTAAATGAAATAGTGCGTATAATGCATTTGGAATTAGAAGATTAAAAAGTGCTCAAAATCATGAGAGAATTGTGTCCTAAGAGTCAAAGGAGGACAAACTTTCAAGTAGAAAGCAGTAGAGAATCAAACGATGCAGCCAGCCAGATGTGATGGCACATGCCTATAATCCCAGCTACTTGGAGAGGCAGAGATCAGGAGGATAGAGGTTTGAGACCAGCTGGGGTTAAATGTTACAGAGATCCCATCTTAACAAATAAGCCAGGCATGGTGGTTCACATCTATAATCCTACCTATACAGGAGACATAGATAGGAGAACTGCAGTCCAAGACTAGCCCCTGGGCAAAAAAATGAGACCCTATCTGGAAAATAACTAAAGCACAAAAAGGGGCTGGGGGTGTGGCTCAGGTGGAGACCACCTTGTGAGTGATAGATCCCATCCTAAAAAATTAGCTAGCATTTGTTGCCCTTAATGCAGAGAAACTAAAGCAGATACCTTAAAAGCAACTGAGGCCAATAGGAAAAGGGGAACAGGTACTAGAGAAAAGGTTAGATCAAAAAGAATTAACCTAGAAGGTAACACCCATGCACAGGAAATCAATGTGAGTCAATGCCCTGTATAGCTATCCTTATCTCAACCAGCAAAACCCCTTGTTCCTTCCTATTATTGCTTATACTCTCTCTACAACAAAATTAGAGATAAGGGGAAAATAGTTTCTGCTGGGTATTGGGGGGGGAAGCGGGAGGGGGTGGAGTGGGTGGTAAGGGAGGGGGTGGGGGCAGGGGGGAGAAATGAACCAAGCCTTGTATGCACATATGAATAATAAAAGAAAAAAAAAAACCCTCAGGATGAAAGTTAAAAAAAAAAAAAAAAAAGAAAAGAAAAAAGGAAATTCAAAAGTTTTGAATGAAATTATAAAGATCTGAGATCCAACCCACTATTCTCCATTCTAGAAGGTTCTATAATACCAAAAGAGCACTTTCATTATTTCACTTGGTGTCCCTTTTATAAATGAAGAAATCAAGGCCCAGAGAAAGGAAGCCAGCTTACCCAGGCCTGGAATGGAAACTAAGTCTTTAGCCCTCTGCCCCAGTGCTCCCATATACAGGCCCCCTCATCCAGGCTCATCTGCTGACATGGGCTCGAGATTGTGGGACTTGCAGAAGCACCTCCTTTCAGTCAGAGACTTATGAAAGCAACCAGAGGTCTGACCGTAAGCCTGTGAAATGCTCACGTGTCTCCTACAGGTGCCACAGCAAACCCCATCTGCCTCAGTGGCCTCCTCTAATTAAACCTAATTTTCTTAACTTTCCAAAATAAAAAACTTTTCATTTTGTTTTCTTCTATTTAAATTGAAATACTATTGTTTATAATTATACCACAACTCATCTACTTTGTAGAACAAACTGGCTTGTATGGGCTAACCTGGAAACCTAACTTCTTCATATAACATGGAATTGGAACTCAAAACATTGTTTTTATAAACAACCAACTAACAGAAGGACTTTGGGAAGAATTTGAAAATTAGAAACTGCCTGAAATCCCTTCCAGGGATGCTCCACTTAACCTTGCATCATGCTGACAACCTCCATCCCGTCTCCCAGTCCAACCCAGTACATCAGGTCTGGAAACAGTGCCTAGGTCTTGGTACCAGATTGTCAGTCCCGAGTTCGTGTCCCTGGAGAAGTCAATGATTAAAGATGCCAGATCAGAGATTAAGACTCAAGCAAGCACAAAGTTTGTTGAAAGGACAGCAAAGCACCCTGAGGGGTAGGACTTAGTGAAAGAGCTAAGTCACAGAATAGCTGGGGTCTAGGGGATAAAATAGGGATTTCTCAGACTTAGGCTCCCCCTACTCTACTTTGAAGCTACATTTGTAATTGGATGTCATCTGATTAACTTCTCCCCAAACCCAATCATTTGGTTGTTCCCCCCCCACCTCCCAATCCCTGCTACCCTCTCAACCCCACCAACCTCCCCACCCCCATCCTTAATCAAACTGGACCTTCCAGGAGCATCTTGTTAGTCCATCCGGTCCTTGAGGTCTGCCATATACTTTTTATGACTGCCTCTTGTTATCTTGGTAAGACCCACCATTTACATTTATAACTCCCCTTTGCTATCTTGGGGGAAGTTTGCTGTGTTCCTTTCCTGTTTCTCATCTCTTTAGATGTTTGTTTTTAAAGCTGCTTCTCTGTCTTCCTTATCTAGGAGAAAGACCACAGTGTTTTATTATCTGGGTGAGAGGCCTGCTCCTCACATCTCCTTAGATGTTTGTTTTTAAAGATGCCTTCCTGTCTGTCTTATCTAAAACAAAGTTAATTTGCCATTCATTCCCTTTACATTCCCAAAGTCCCTTCTGCAGTTTGCCCCCCTCACAGTCTCACTAAGGCAATCTCTTCAAGGTAATATCTATGCACCTATTTGTGCATTAGGCAGCAAAAACACTGCCTGGGCAACCACCAAGTGCAGACTAGAAGCTCAGCTGTACTCCGCTAGCTGACTGTCTGGACAATGTTACCCAAGCAGGAAGAAAAGTGGGGGAGACCAGCCCTCAGACCTCCCCTTTATGGAAAAAAAAGTAGTACTGAACTGAGAAGTTCCTGGTAGGACAACACTGCCATCTCCTGGCCAGGATGAGTATAGCAAGCCTCTTGCTCCCTGCTGCAGGTCCCAACCACATTGATCAGCTCTATTGACATGAGCTCCCTGATCCTCTCCACTGCCCTGGTGAAGGCTTAAGGTAATGACTTAAGGTTTTTTTTAGTGGAGAACCTTTCCCGCAACTGACTAAATTCTCCAGGAGCTTTTCACTATTTATGTTTGGTTTTCCTTCTGCAGTGCTGTAGCTTCATTTTCTTCCTTTCCACACTCTTTATTTTCACACCCCACACCTGTTTCTTTTCCTTCCCTGATCTCAATTGCTTGAGTGTATCTTTCTCCCAAGCTCCATCAGCATTTTCAGACTTTACTAATCCTAGGATCCCTGAGAAATCTCACTTATAAAACAGAGCTCTTGACCTCATTGGATAAACATAACTCTGGGACCATTTTCAAAGACAGCTCCTGTCAAGAACAACCAGCTCCAAGCTCTATGGCCAGGTCTCCTGCCTTTAACACACATCTTCCTCAAATCCTGGTGTGTCTTCGTAAAAATCTCTTTTATCTGTGCCCTCCTCTCCTTTCCTACCTTCTCTGCCACATGACAAGAAAGTCATTACCCCTTGCCTAAACTATTAAGATAGCCCTAAAAAGGGGATTTCATATAATTCCCGTCCCCCAGAGATGATCGTCAATGGGTATGGGGAACAGTTAGGTAGGAGAAATAATTTCTAATGTTCTGTGGCACGGTAAGATAGCCATGATTGACAAGGAATAATTGTATATTTCAAAGTAGTCAGTAGAGAGGATTTTGAATGTTCTGAACACAAGGAAATGATAAATGTCTGAGGAGATCGACATGCCAATTACCCTGATCTGATCATTACATGTTGTATACACACATTAAAATGTCACACTGCACCCCATAAATATGTGCAATTACTACATGTCAATTAAAAATAAAAATACAATTTATAGGAACTACTCCCCATTCTTGATCCACCACCAAACTGATATTTCCAAGATATAAGCCTGTCTGTGTTACACTAAGGTTTAAAAACTTCTGTGAGTTCTCCACTGTTCGAGTGCTTTCATGTGGGCTGTGGCTCTTGTCCCTGTTGCATATTAGAATCCCCTGGGGAGTTTTGAAAAGCTCTCATGCATAGACTCACCTAAGATCCACGGAAGCAGAGTCTGGGGAGGAGGGGGGCAGTGAGCAAAAGGACACACATCAAAGTTCATGGTAACTCTGACAGCAGTGTGAGCTGAGAGCCACCATACTGTCATGACAAAAAAGAATCCCTGCCCATCCTTGCAGCCTGGCTCCCCAGGCTTCTCCCCACCTCCACCAAGAAGCCACTTTCCTTCCCTCAAGCTCATCATACTCCACACCCACCTTTGCCACAGAGTTCCTTTCCCCCAGGGACCCTGGCTCCTTTAGGCATCTGGTTTCTCCCTTAGCAGACTCAGACCCCTTCCTCCAACCCTCCTTCTAGACATAATTGCTGTCACCATTTCCCCAGGAAGCTTTCTCGGGCATCCCCACTGCTCACCATACCCCTGGTGACTCACAGTTCCCCAAGTGCTACCACAGCCCTGGTTAGTCCCCACACTGTCTCCCCACAACCCCACACCACTGAAGGGCAGCGATCTGTTTTGTTCATCATTGCCTTGCTCATGTTTTGCATGGAGCAGACAATGCTCTGGAAACTACCAACTGCTTGTGGGACTTCTGCCTCTTTTTCTGGTGCCTGGCTTATAGTTGACTGCAGCTATCTGAGCTTCTGTTTGCTTTGGTTTGTCCTAACGGGTAGGAATCACTTCCTGTAAGCTTCATAACCTTCATGGCTCACAACGGGCTCTAAGAAAGGTGTTTGACCCTTTCTGAAAAAAAATCCATCCAGAAACCCATTCCACAGAACCAAAGTCAGCTACCAGAGTGGGTGCTGCTGGTCATATTAAAATGAGGTCAGAATGTAGGTTCAGGGCTGGAATGGTTTCTAGTCTGGTAAACATGCTTCAAAAATAAGCTTCCCAAACTTCCTTTCCTGCTCACAGTAGAACTTTTGAAGATCTGGGGATTTCTCTGCCCCATCCCCTCCCTCTGGGGCACCATAGATCCTACAAGCAAAAGAATGCAAGAAACAATTCCAGTTGCCCCTGCCCCCAAGGCCCCTTAATGGCCAGTGGTGGAGAAACGCTGGGGTCAGTGAACTGGGATGTGCACTTTACAATCTGCTGCCATCACAGATTCCTACAGAGCAGTCACTGATCCTCCCCTTCCCCTCATCACAGCTACTTAAGGAGAGGACACCAATATGGCAGCAGCCCCCAGCCACACCCACTAAATCAGAACATCAGCCTGGAGACCAGCAGTCTGTGTTTTATCAAGAACATTTAAGAAGCATATTAAAAACCAAGAGCACAGCCACCATCCGCCATTCCTGACTCTGAGCCAATACCTGGGGCTGGATTCCCTTTGCCAAGGACACAGCTCCTTGCTAAAAAGCCCAGGGATTCTGAATTGCAGAGGTGAGGACGCTTCTGCACAGAGCAGAGCAGAAGGAACTTGAACAAGAGAACTTGGAACTAGGAAGCTGCACAGAGAGACCTTTAAGACAGACAAGGAAATTAGCTCAGGCCCCACAAAGCTGGATCTGTACTAAAAGAACCTGGAAGGTCTCTGAAAATATCTACCCCTGAGAACAGCCTTCATAGTCCCCCACCCCATCAATTACTGCCTCCATCTCTTGTCCTATGTTATCTCCCACACACCACATTATTGAGCACTTCTTGAAATTATATATTAGTTTGTTGTTCATTGTCACTCTCTGCCACTAAGCATAATTTATTTATTTATTGTCAGTCTCCACCTGTAGAATATAAGCAGTAGATGTGTGGAATAAACTATAAGTGAGTATTTGGTTTACTTGGATAGATCCAGTGCTTAGAATAGAACCTGGCACACAATAGGATTTAATCAATATTTGTTGAATGAATGAGCAAATGAATAAATGACAGCACACTAGCTCCATCAGCACAAGAACTGTGTCTGGCGTATCACCTCTGTTTCCCCCAGTGCCTGGCATACTGCTTGATACAAAACAGACGGACACTTTAAATAGATTCCTGAATCAATAAACAACATGCAGGCACATTTTTTTAATGATTAGCCCCAAAACCAAACCTGTACTCTATTCAGGCCACTCATTAACAGATCAGATTGAGCCATGGCACATGTTCACTGTGTCTCGGGAGGACGAGAGTAGAGGGAAAGGCAGTGGGGAGTACTGAAAACTTGTAAAGATGACAAAAGCTGTCTCAGGAATACAGCTTAGCATACACCTGAAAGTTAAAACCTGGAGAAATCTAGGCAATAACCTAACCTATGCCTCAGACTTGAAGGGGGAACCACAGCTTCTAGGACATTTGCCTTCCTTCCCACTCAACATACCTTTGCTGCATTCTAGATATCACTATTTACCATCACACAGGTAAGAGACCACACCAACCAAATGGCCTTATAATACACAAATTGTACCTTCCTTTGCACTTAGGTTACATTTAGAATTCAAGTGCACTTATATAAGAAAAATAACACAAGGCAATTTTTTTTAATCAAGTGGTTTATTTTTTTCTTGAGTAGGAATTTAAGTTACTTCAATGATCACTGACTTGGCTACAGAAAACCTTCCAAAATGATAGCAAACAAGTAAAAAGGATCTGACTTGCCAAATGTCCAGTCTGACAGGAAGCCCCACAGTGTGTGGCCTCAGAAAATCCAAAGGTCCAGGAATGTGGGGAACAGAGGAATGAGGGAGGCTGAGGGCTGATGGGCATGGAAAGGGAGTCACAGAAGAGTCTAGGTGGTACCAGTTATTAAGAGTCAAATTATTTAAAGTTGAAATAAGTGATAATTTATTTACAACATATGCAGATCTATGAAAGTGATTATGCAAATAAATGGCTGAAAAGGGGGCAGTTAAAAATAGCAATAAAATGGGAGCTTTAATTTCCAGCATGCTGGAAACTAGTCAGAATTTAGCTACATGTAAATGCATCTTGGCCCCTTTAATTCTCTTGATTCTTCCTGATAACACCAGCAAATTAAAAGGGGTTAGATTTATACTTTTTCCCTCAACAGGCATCAGGTTAAATCAGCCCTGACTCCCGGGGAATTGGAACCTCTCTTTGGTTTTCCTTTCTAGAAAGACTTACATTAACAAAGTTTTAAATATATCTAACCAAGTTCTAGAGATTTCCAATTGGTGAAGTGCTAGGTGATAGTTTTTTGCCCTAATCTAATATTTGTTATCAAAGACTGGCTGGAAACCTTGCAGTTCCAATGCTATCTTTCCCATCCATATGTACTGTGTACCTATGGTATTGTTAATTTCCAGGCCCCTTCATGGAGATGGACAAAAATGCAGAGGACACAAAAGGAACTTCTAAGATTTGAAGCATGGTGACATCATCTGTTCTGTGGGTTATCCAGCGATCTCAGAAACTAGAGGCTATAAGCATCCCTCAACTGTCAGTTCCCCGGGCACCGCCACCCACCCCACCCAAAGCTTACACAACCCCAACCCACTGGTTTTGTCTCCTGCAAAGATTGCTCAAATGGGCCTTCAGAATGTTCTTGTCTTTCCTCCTAATGACCGCTTCTTCCTGCCAGAGAACTGCTCTCTGCTGTACCCATGTGGGCGGATTTTCAGCTCCACGTAAGGAATGGAGAATTCATGTCCTTTCCATGGCTTCCAATTTACCCCCTAAGCAAAATAAATAAATAAAAATGAGTTAGGATACAAGGGAATCCCTCTTTGCCAGTAAAATCCCCCACCCCCTTTATTTTTCCCTCTCTCTCTGAAGAAGAGGCACAGGTAGTAATCTATTATGATCTAGAACATAAGAGCCAGATCTAAAAGCATGTACTCTCTTCTGGGAACCTGGAGTTAGACAGACTGAGGAGACATAAGCTGGAGACTCCCATGGTGGGAAGATGGGGCTATGAGACCAGGATGTGGGTGAGGCCAGAGGGCCACAAAGGTAACATGGAGGTCAACCCAGCCAGCAATCATCAAATCAGCTTTGTCTTACTCTTTTCCTTTCCAAAAAATTAAAGGCAAAAATAAACATATTAATTGGCCAATTGTGTAAAATCATTTTCAATTTAGACTGTTTAGATATTAGCTCTGGGGTAACAAATAGCCCGCTGAAAACTAAATTTCATTTTATGTCTTTTGACTGGTGAGTGCAATAATATTTAATTCACTTAATAACCTTGCAACCTGGCCAATAAAGAGCCCAAGTGACCAATTTTATGTATTTTAATTTGTGAGGTAAATAATAAACAAGAAGCTAAATGCCTTGCAGACTGTGAAAAGCACATTAACCAGATGAATGTCTTTTATTAGCAAATATAGGGATGGTTTAGGGCATGCTGGCTGTTCATTTCAAATATTTGATCTCTGATCACAGGATTCTCTGAATCGGCCCACATGCTGCCACCGTAGTCATGGGCCCACCCTCCTTGGCTCCCCTGGGGAGCAAATTTCTTCTTCCCTTTGAAAAATCACATAAGGATCAGGAGTCCCCACAGCCAGGTTAGGACCAAAGTAATAAAAATGAACCTATACTAACATTTATAACAGTATTGTTATGAGGTGAGTTCTGGGGAGAGGTAGCTTCCTAAAGGTCAAGATCAGGACCTAGGAAGGGAAACTGAAGACCCAGGATGGGTTTGTGGAGGAGAGAGGATTAATGCCAAGTAGGAGCAAAGATGCAAGTTTCAAGAGGCTGTGAGGGAGCAGGTAGGAGATGCCTGGTAGCTGGCAGAGTCAAGATGATATGCAGGGACCATGGAGGTTAGAGAAATCACAGGTAGGAAAGCTTTCGAGCAAGGGACAAGAGAGGAACCTGAATGAACTCTCAGCCCTGCACACACTCTAATGGAGAGACAGGTCTAGCACAATGCACTGCACAGACTTGGTGCCTTTAGTTAAAGTGGATCCAAGAATGATTCTGACCTAAGGCAAAAGACTGCCTGGGGACCAAAGGACTTGAGAGGAATGGTTGTGGTTTAACAAGAACAACTAAAAAGATTATGGACTGAAGGCTGTGTCCCCAACATTCATAGGTTGAAGCCTTAACCCCGCAATGTGATGATGTTAGGAGGCAGGCCTTTGGGAAGTCATTAGTTAAGATAAGATCATGAGGGTAGAGCTTCCACAATGAAATTAACACTCTCTCTCTCTCCCTCTCTCTTCCTCCTCCTTTCTTCTCCCTCCTCCTCTCTCTCTGCCATGTGAGGACACAGCTAGAAGATGGCTGTCTACAAGCCAGGAAGCAGGGCCCCACTGGAACCAAATCTGCTGGCATCCTGATCTTGGATTTCCCAGCCTCTAGAACTGTGAGGAACACATATCTGTATTCCAACACCCTATCTGTGGTGTTTTGTTATAGCAGCTCAAGATGACTAATAAAATGAGATGGTGTGAGATCCACATAATCTTTATACAGTAGTATGCAGCCAAGCTTCCCACCCACCTGCCACTAAGTAAGGGTGCAGAATTAGAATGCAGAGCAGTTAGGGGCCACAGTCAATGGACACAGGGCCATGACCTCAAGGCCATGGAGCCTGGAGGAGACACTTTCCTGTCCTCACTGGAAACATCAGAAAAAGAGGAATCACCAAACTAACCTGGAGGGTATCCCTCTGGGAGCTGAATGTGAGCAGAGCCTAGGACAGAAACGATATTCAACTGTCACCTACCTCACTATGCTTAGTTTCCCCATATTTGCCATTGGGGTTGGCCAAGTGGCAGTTCTTATACCACCAGCCACCATGATGTGTCAGAGCACAGTTGCTGAGAGCGATATCGTTGTCTCGGTCAAAAGTTGTGAACTTCCGTCCATTGTGGTAAGTTAGAGCGTCCCCTACAAGAGAGAAGGGAGAAGAGAACCATGAGGGAATGATGAAAGTCTGCCTGGAAAGAGAGCCCAGCAGGAAACATCTAGGCACGAAAATGCCAAGGATCCAGTCAGCTATATGTCACAGGTGGTCACGGTTCTCTCAAAATGGCCAAAATGAGAGCATGACACAAATGAACAGGTTCTCATGCCTGACCTGTCACCCAAACTTGAGGTCCATATCTCCAGTCATAACAAATCTCCTACCACCCCTTACCAAAGATAATCACTCTCCGTCTTCCCGTCTCTACCACAGCAACCCTTTTCCTTGCCACCCAGATCTGAAACCCCTGTTCCATGCTTGATAAGCCCTTCATACCCTTGATCCAGCCCTTCCTTCCCAGTCACTCACACATCTCACCTTTCTGCCTCTATGGCCACGACCCCTGGCTTCTCATCTCTGTTGGCCCATGTTAACCCAAAAACTTTCTCTTAGGCTCCTCACCTCCTAGTCCGCTGGAGCTCATATGCCCATGTTTATCCTCTCAGGACTAAATCCAACTTTCTATCACAGGTTGGAGAATTACTCCTGCTTGCTTTGCTGTCCCCTATGCATAATCTCTGATTCCACTGTCCCCTCTCTGTGTGGAGTGAACAGGTCAGCCTTCCATGGTCAAATCCTAACCATTCCTCGCAGCCGAGCTCAACTTCACCCCAAGGGAAGATTCTCCTCATTGATCCTTGACACACATCCTCCCTCTCCCTCTCTCACGCATACTCACGTGCGCACATATACACATGTACCTGAGCTTCTAGAGCCCTTCTGGGGACATGTGTACAATTTAGTGCTTAATTACATCCTGTCTGAGATCTGCTTTAATTATTTTACTTGGATTGCACCTATTTCCCTATCACATTTGTCATCCTTTTATACATTTACTTTTTTCAGCTCATAAAAGGCAATAAAGTCCCATATCAATCACAAGCTTAATCAAGTTCTGTTCTTGCAATAACAATACTTAACAGTGACAGCTAATCTCTGAGATTATGGCTCATCTCCACACATATGTTCTCACTTGACTCTCACAGGCCCTTGAGGTAAGCAGGGCAGCTCTTGGTCCCAGGAGGAAATAAACTCATAGGGGTTAGACCCTAGGCACTTGTTAAAGTCCCACAGTTCACAAATGGCAGAGCTGGGACTCAACTCTTGGTTCTCATTTTCCAAGACCTGAGTTCTTTCTTTTTGCCTTTTTTTGGGGATGAGGTGGGGGAGGTGGTATCAAGGTTTGAACTAAGGGCCTTGCACTTGCTAGTCAGGCACTCTCCCACTTTGTCTCATGCCTCCAGCCCTTTTTGCTTTCATTATTTTTTAAAACAGGGTCTCATGCTTATGCCTGGTATGGCCTAGAGATCTTCCTATTTATGTTTGCTTCACAACTGGGATGACAGGTGAGCCCCCCCCACCAGCTTTTATTGTTTGAGATGAGAAATTTTTGCCAAGGATTGGCCTGGAACCTGATGCTCCTGATCTCTGCCTCCAAGTAGCTAGGTTTACAAGCTTGAGCCACCATTCCCAATGAGACCAGGGTTCTTGCTGAGACACCAATTTACCTGTGGCTTCTTTATTCTAACAGAGGGCTTCATTTATGCTAGCAAGAGCAAGCTGTCTCTGATAGCCTACAACAGTGGTTCTCACAGTGGGGTCTCTGAACATGTAGCATCAGCATCATTTGGGAGCTTGTTAGAAATTCAAATTCTCAACATAATACTGAGTGAGATAAGATAAGAAAGACAAATATCACATGTTTTTGCTCATATAGAATCTAGACCTAAAAACAACAACAACACCATAATAATATAACGTGAATGAATGCAAAGGAGGACTATTGGGGGGGAGAAGTATAAAGAGAGGGAATGGGAAAAGAGAGGGTGAAGGGGGCAAATATGATCAAAGTACATTTTTTATGTGTGTGTGTATGAAAGTAGTATAATGAAACCCTCTAAGAACTGTTTAAAAATGGAGCTGGGCTCTGGTGGCTTGCACCTGTAATCCTAGCTACTCAGGAAGCAGAGATCAGGAGGATCACTGTTCAAAGCCAGCTCCAGGCAAATAGTTTGTGAGACCCTATCACAAAAAAAAAAAAAAAAATGGGCTGGCAGAGTGGCTCAAGGTGAAGACCCCAAGTTCAAATCCCAGTACTGCAAAAAACAAAAAAATGGGGGGAGGTGGGAGAGACAATATGAAAGAGTAGTAGAGGGGGTGAATTTGATCAAAGTACATTATATGCTGTATGGAAATATCACAATTAAATTCCTTTGTATAATTAATATATGCTAATTAAAATGGGGGGAGCCAAAGTAAACTGATAAACAAAACCAAATAGAACCCTGAAAATAAAGAAATGCAAATTCTTAGACTCACCCCAAGCCTACAGAACCAGATGCATATATTGTGGGAGCATATGCTCTGTGCTTGGACGGGCCCTACAAATGATTCTGACGTAGGCTTCAAGTTCATTCACTTATTCAGAGAACACACACTAGACACCTACTATGGACCAGCACCATGCTAGGCTCTGGGAATATAAAAATGAGGAGGTTCTTACTCTCAAAAATTTAGTTGGGGTGGATGAGCAGGTACAAAGAGTTGGTGGGGGAGGGTGTAGCTCAGAGGTACAGTGAGTGCTTTCCAAATGTGAGACCCTGGGTTCAATCCCTAACACTCCCCCAAAAAGAAGAGTTACTAGCACCTTACACAAAGGGAAAGTCCCTCCAGTTCAATGAGTTTGATCCAGCAAAGACAGGAGAAGCACGAAAAGAGAGAGGCCACTTCATTCTGACACATCAAAATGGCCCTGCCTCCACCAGTCTTCTGGATCAAGAAAGACCCACTGCCTTTATTCATGCACATTTCCTTCCTCCCTCCAGATTTCCTGCAGCTAGTTAACTACAGCTTGAAATAACACACAGTGGCTCCCATAGTAACATTATTTTAATGGACACAGATTTCCGAACTTGAACAAGAAGTTCCCACAGCTATTTTCTAAGAACCTGGGCAGAAACTTTCTCAAATGTATGTTTATAGTTATCTAACCTTGGACACTGGGATAAAGAAACACGAAGCAGGTTTCAGCCTGTGTGGAATGTTTGTTTTTCTGCAGATGGATTTTCTATTGTCTAGAAACCAAACTCTGAACTCACCTTCAGAATGTCCATAATGAGAATACTCATAACTTGAAAAATAACTTTGCTCTGGTCATCACACCCCAGGTGTGTGGTACACACCTGTAATTCCAGCACTCAGGAGGCTGAGGCAGGAGGATTGCAAGCTACAGGCCAGCATGGGCTACATAGTGAGATCCTATCTCCAATAAACAAAAAGCAACAGCAACAACAACAAAAAAGACAAAGTAGCCACACCAACAGAACTTAGGTCTTCCTCCCTTCTGTCAGAGTTTTAGGAGAAAATATTGATGAATGATAAGGTCCCACTTCTAGCTTTCTACAGCTTTGGTGGAAAGCTAGTCCTTCTGAGGTAAGGGGTTTCTGGTGGATGGCAGGCTCACAAAAGTTATGAACCCATACTCAAGGTGGGACCACTAAGCTAGACACTGTATATCTTATTAAAATGTCACTCTGAGACCCTCTGTTTCCTCCTCCAGTGCTTCATTGGGACAGGAAAATGATCCAGGCAGTTACTATCTCAGACCAGGAAAAGTCATGAAAGTCATATCCCCTGTAAGTTACATTCAGACAGAGGACCATGCATCTGGACCTTGAATGTCTTTTACCCTGGGATTAAGGACAGGTGAGTAAGAGAGGGATCTGTGCCAATCCTGGCTTTCCCTTTTGTCCATGTATACATTTTGTTTTGTTTGTTTGTTTGTTTTTATTTTTTCTCTTTCTCAAAAGTTCTAGTCTTTAAAATCCACTTCAAAATAAGGAAGTGCTACCCTTCGGGGAAGAACAATTTTCCCTATGGGTATTTAATATTCCTGGTCCCAGCCCACCAAGTGCTGGTAGAGATCCCTGATCATGTTTCTAAGTCACATCCTGGGGAGTGGACCTATCCCCTTAAGCAAGCATCTGACCATGACTGAGCCCCAAGTAGGAGGGACTTGAGATCAGCTATATTAACTGGATGGCCCATAGAAATCACTCTGAACCATTCTTAACATCTCTTTATGTTTCCATTATCATCTCTCAATATGTAAATAGCATCTCAAAGGTAGAGCTTATAAAACAGGTTCCCTATCCTACTGCAAGACTCAGTCAGAAACTAAATTTACCACTCCATTGCCTCATTGGTGTTTCCTGCACCAAGGAATAGTGTGGGTTCTTAGACATTACTTCAAGGGAAGAAAAAAATGTTAAATACCCATAGCAAGACTCTATCTCAAAAAACAACAACATAGTTTCTGGCCCACCTGGACAGTCTAAGGAGGGGACAAGCATTAAAGTACTCATTTCTACCAGGGCTGCACAATTTTCAGTCCTAATCAGAGCTCTAATGAAGCTAGAAGCTGAGAGAGCTGACACGTGCAGGGAGCTACCTGAATGTTCACCTTCCATTTTAACGCTTGTCCTCTATGGTGCCACATCATTTAGGATATGCGTAGCTAGAAGCTTCCTAAATTGAAAGCTCTCCTCATGGGCCAATCAGCATATATAAAGAAAGCTAAAACTCCACTGACCTCACCACTATAATTCAGGGTTTAAAAGTGAGAATGATAGTACACATGGGAAGACTATATGGCTGCCTAAATGCTGTGTGATTTGAGTCTCCCAAGGCTTCTTATTAAAAAACATCCTCCACAGACTGACCCTGTTGGCTTGAACAACCTTAAAACAGGGAATTATTCCTTACTCCCAGTTAAAATGCAAATAAAGTACCTGGGAGGAATCACATTAATTCACAAATAAATTGACTCTTTTTCACTCACTTTCCCATTAGTACCAGTTCATTTACTGGATTATGTGAATAGGCTCAGAAAAGGCAATTGTTAATGGAGAGGAAAGGAAAGGGGGAGGAATAGCCTAGAAGACCTGCTCTTGGAAAATCTCAACCAGGAGGCCAAGGAGGGCACTGATTCTTGGGTAGAGAGACAGGGCACAGGAGCCAAAGGAAAACACCAATTTCATGTGTTTTTCCATTAAAAGCCTACAAATAGAGACTGGGACTCTCTAGCCTGAGAAAGAAAGGCTGAAGCTACCTGATGACTATAATCAAAAGGGTAATGGAGAAGAAGAGGGTAATGGAGAAAAAGATAGGCTCCACGTGGACTGAGATAAAAGCAGGAGAAGACTCAAAGAGCATAAGGAACACAGGACTGTGAATTCCTATTACACCAATGGGGTGGGAGATCCTGGAAGAAGCCATGCAGAATGCAATCTGGAGAGGGGGTGGGGCGCCATGGGCTTGGTCCTCCAAGATAGCATCTTTAAGTTATTTCAGTATTAAATTATTATGATCACTGGGTGTGGTGGTACACACCTGTAATCCCAGTAGTCAGGAGGAAGAGGTGGATTACAACCTCAAAGCTAGCCTGGGTGACACAGCAAAACCCCATCTCAAAAAAAAGACTATCCTTAAATCATTCTGTAAATATCCTGATAATCACATCAATGTCCATATGTTTCCTGACTGTATCTGAGCTGCCTTTTTTGCACGCCTGACTTCCACATTTTATTCACTTTTGAGTGAATGTAGTGCAAGCTGTCTCTGGCCCATGGAGACTCAGGACTCTGAGGAAAGAAGTGAAGGATCCAAACCCAATCTTGCAACTGCAATGCCTTTTTTCTGCAAGGATTTTTTTCACCAGAAATAATAATTTGCTTACATTTTCTCACCCAACCCCTGCCTCAGACAAGTCTGTGTCTGTAGTACAAACTCCTTGCACTCTGGCAGGTGCCCACCCCTTCCACATCACCATGTCACTTCTGTGGAACCCACTGGGTCTCAGATACCACATCTGTAAAATGTTAGACATACAGGAGATAACACAGGAAAGTCTTGCTAAAAATTTCACTTTTTAAACTGACTTGTTCTGTGCTAAGCACTGGAAAGCAAGAGCAAAATTCATGTGATTACTTAAAAAAATAAAATCACAACTCTCAAAGAAATTTTGCATTATCATTCGACCATTTCAGATCATGGCCCCAGATACTCACAGGTTCTATTTATAATACTCTGCCATCGGAGGTACTTAAGGGGACAATTTTGAGAAGTCCTGTAAGGCATCAAAAAGTCCATTCCAATCTCCTTGCTTTCCCCTAGACCCCCCCAGGCCTGGAGAGCCCTTCCTTTTCTCCCACCTGTGTTCAACCTTCTTTCTTTTTTTTTTTAATTTTTATTTTATTCATATATGCATACAATGTTTGGGTCATTTCTCCCCCCTTCACCCACCCTCAGCCTTCCTTCTGATCCAACTTCAGCCCACATCCTGCAGGAAGTTTTCTCCTTCACTGTGGTCTTTAGTGCACCCACCTTCTCCACTCCTTAGCTCTTTATTTTCCTTACCAATTGGTTGACTTTCTGCAAAAGTAACCTTATATTTTTATTCCTCTCTTTTCATGTGAGTCTGAGGAGAGAGACCATGTCTTATACAGTAGCTGATTTGGCTGCTAACACGTTCCTACATTGCTATACCAAAGTCAGAAACATGCAAATGTCAAGGAACAGACTTACTTTGTTTAAAAAACACAAATTTTAAAAATATTAGTATTAAAGCAATAACCATCTCCTCTTAAATACAATATTTCCTGGCATAATTCCTGTATTTCAGTCACGTTGCTTAATTTTGCTCTTTTCCTTCACAACTGAACACAGCAGCAAATGGCCAAAATCCAATGAGCAGCTAATCGAGGCTAAAGATTCCCCGCTTTCAGCTGAACTGCTCATTTCTGTGTGGCCACAGTTGTATTAAGTTAATGAGACCTAACAGTCTCGTTGTTTGAATCAGCACTTTCATTTCTGTCTTTATTTATAGCAAAGTATCATAAAATTCTTAAATAAAATTACACACACACTGTTGTGCAGACAAAAATGTCTGCCACCTTACTGAAACCTGATGAAAGGTTGAAAGCACCACAGAATGGCCCAAAAAGGGTAATTTCATCAACTGATTTACAACAGCCTGAACAGGGGAGTATAAGAGGAGAGTTCTTACTAGGGGAGGGATACAAAAGGTCCAATTTTGTGATAGTCAGGGATTGCTTTGACTTTGTTCACCCTCCCCCCACCAACGAGAATAGAGCCTGAAGTGTCAAGGAGAACAATGCCTTTCCACAGAACAACCTTCTATTCTCCAGTTCTGCAGCACATGGCAAAGCAATCCTCTGAAAACAAAGAGCAAGATACCCTTGCAGTAAGAAAACACTCTTACCTGCTGTGCCTCTGTATTTCCCAACTGTCAACTTATATCGCTCCTTGCTGGAGGCCACCTGGAAGAAATCATATACGGCGTAGGCAGATTCATTGGCAGTCTGTAAGTCCGCCCTCACCTCATACTGGGTAGGAGTGCCAGTGGTGAGATTGTGTAGCTTATCAAGTCCTAAAAACATAGAACAAAATTCCAATAACCAATCAACTCATGCTTGAGAACACTCAGCATTTGCATCTGAGACTTTCAGGGCTACAAGTCACCTTAGCCTTTGTTTTGTCTGTTAATAAGGAGTCTTTCCAAGATCTTGTCTTTGGGGGAGGGTGTTCATTTGCTTATCCTGTTATTTATTTGGCACAATCATGCTAATGACCTCTATGGAATGAATCTGAGCATTGGCTCAAGCTCGCTAAAATAGAAGCAGCTCTAGTTGTCATCCACACATCCCACAAATAGAAAACAGGATCTCCGACCTCTGAAGAGATTTTGTATCAAGTGAACCACAAACATCACTTACTCTATTAGACTCTAAGTATCCAGATCAGTTCTTTTTAATTTTGTATTTCCCAATTGATGCCTTTGGCTATTTCCTATTTGTGAGCATCTGCTCCATAAGCAAGCAGAGGGAAAAGGGGAAAACCAATACCCACAGTACCTGGCATTACTAGCAGAATTTCAGGAACTGCTGGAATGTCATCCCAACAAGAGGCCAGGATCCTAGTCAATTATTTTTCTACTATTATGGTTTGTAAGAAATTCAGGCTCCAAGAAGATCCTGTAGAGCTTGGATATAGCACAAAAACCTAGCCTTCAAATTCCAGAATGGACAAGAGCCTTCCCATTGGCACAGTCCCATCACATAACGTCCCTGTCACTTGAATATGGTGAGCTCCTTAAGCTGCATGAAGAGTTTGTCGAGAGTGGGGAGGTATTGTTCCCCCAAAATCCCACTCTCCTGATTCACAGAGATCCTACCAAGCCAGAACTCCTTCATGGGGTCCCCAAAGCCTTCCACATAGCTCCACCAACGCTTGAAGAAATCCAGCTGCCCAGTGTTCCGTCTCTGGAAGACCTAAGGAGGGAAATGGATGCTTCACTCTGACGTGCTGAACAGAGGTAACTGAGTGGAAGGGGAACAATATTTGTACTTCCCAAGGTGGTACTGAGAAACAAGAGGAGACTATGAACCTATATTGATTTCCTCCAGTAGCATATCTTCCTTCATTTTTTAGAAAGGATTTTAATTTATATATCAGTAAATTCACTTTTTTGTCTACTATACTAATAAGTGTTCTTTGGGTGCAAAGAAATACGCTAGATACTAAAATGTATAGTACCCAGCAGATAAGGATTTTGCCTTCAGGAAATTTCAATTACAGAGCACAGAAAAACTTAGGGACCCAATAATGTAGTTCCTGGTATGTGGGTATAGAGCAGAACATTCCAGACTTTTTGTTGGCTCTAACCGTAACCTTCAACAACTATTCAACTCAATTGGAGCACATTATATTTACATGTTGTCTTCCCTCCCCACTTAAATAGTTGGAAAGTGGGAACTATCTTCTAGTTTACTTGATTTCTAACATAACAAGTATTAGGTATTTATTGAGGAAAAAATCTAACAAGTTTTTTTGAGCATCTACTAGGTAGTAAGCACTATGCAAGATAATGTGCAAAACAAATCCAAAATGGCCCTTGCCTTCATGGAGCTGATAGTTCAGTAAATGAAATATACATGAATTAAGTAATCAAATAAAAAATGTAATTAAATAATAATAAGGGTTATGAAGGAAAGATGCAATAGGTTATGAGAGCATAAAACAGGAGAGCCTAATCAAAGAACCAGGAAAGCTCCTCTCAAAAAGTAGCTGGGAGATGCAGAATGAATATGAGTATTAGGAAGAGATCTGGAGGCTGGTGTTGGGGGATGAATAGAAAGGAAGGCTGGAACGATGAACCAGAATCAGTTCTGGTAGGGCGTTAGGAAGTATTGACAAAATGTTGGCCCATTGTAAGAAGAATGGGAATTATTGAAGGGCTCTAAGCAGGAAATGAGATATTCATATTTACATCTTGCTCAAATCCTTCTAAGATACAGTGTAGAGATTGAACAGGACAGAAACAAGAGTGAAAGAGATGACCAGTTAGGAGATCAGTGCAGTATACCAGTAACAGAGGACAGAAACTTGGTCTACAGGCTACCCTGGGGATAGACAGAAGTAGACAGAAGGTAAACTTGATAGACATGGTGATAGACTATGAAACTGAAAGAGGAAGAAGTCAAAAATGATTCTTCCGGTCTTGACCAGGGGTGTAGCTCAAGTGGTGGAGTGCTTGAGGTTCTAAGTTCAAATCCTAGTACCACAAAAAAAAAAAAGACACTTCCAGTTTTGATTTGCAGAACTGGATGGCTATTCACTAAGCTGTTTACTGAGAAGGGAAATTCTGAGACAAGGCAGGTTTTGTGAATGTGTTGTGAGCTCATTCAGGGACACAGTGTGAATTCTTCCTGAGGAATCCTGACGAATGAAGATGCCACATAAGCAGCTGAATGTAAGGGCTAGAGTTCTAAAGAGAGGTCTAGGCTAGACTTTTAAGGTGAGTGTGTGTCTGAGAACAGCTGGGAGTTTACCAAGTCCCATTTCATGTTCCTTCCCTCAGGAACACAAGAAGCCTTTTCTTTTTCAGCTTCCCTTGCAGCTAAGTAGGAACCATGTGACTATTTCTAGACTAAAGGCTGTACATAGGAAGACAGAAGTGTGTGCAGAGGTTTTTCTTATGCTCTCTTCCATTGCAATGTAACAAAGGAAGGCCACATGTTGAAATGACAGAGTCATAAGATGGAAGCAGTCTGCATCCCTGAGTCACCGCTTAGAAGTAGCTGCCAAACCTACAGAAGACATTGCACACATGAGCAAAATGCTTATGTCTTAGATCACTGGAATTTGGGGGTGGTTTATTACTGCAACATAATCTATTCCATCCTAATGAACACAGACTGCCACTGGGACAGACAAAGGAATGAAGTCATGGAGAAAGATGAGGTTACATAGGAAGAAAATAGGAACTGAAAAGAGAAAATGGCTTAACTGCAAGCCTTGGAGACCTCTAATATGTAACAGACACATGGGGAATGATGATTTCATTTAAAAAAAAAAAAAGAAGAAACAATTAGAACTGTAGAAAGAAAACTAGAAACATGTGGAATCACAAAAGCCACAAGAGAAATAATGGTCAATATGTCAAATACTGATGAGAGGTAAGGGAACATGAGAACAAAACTGTTCCTAGAATTTAGTGACATGGAAATCACCAATGACTTTAGCAAGGGCCGTGTTGGTAAAATTTAAGGGCAAAAGCCAGACTAGAATAAGTGGAAGACTGGTAGAAAATGAGAAAATGGAGACCAAGTTGGGTACAATTTCACAATAGTAGGCCGTTTTCTCTACCAATATTCCTCTAAATTTGGAGAAGGCAGGCAGTTTCCCCTCAGAGCCAATCAGATTCTTTATATGAAGTAAACTTAAAAATATCCCAAACCTAAACATACCTGTGTACACTACTGGAATTGATAATACATATAATTCCGCTTGACTTTGAAAACCAAGCTAAAAGGCCATCCTGCCGACCTCAGAAATGATTACTTATTTTCTCTTTCTCTCTACTTATTTCCCTTTGTAGTCATTCAATTAATATCCCTGCTTTCCACCAGGCTTCATAGCATGTATCTTGAAGTAAACACCTGATCTTGAGTTTGGTAAGGAAAACCCCCTAAATGTTATACATTCTTTACATCATTCTCTGGGAAGGGTGGTGGGGAGGAAAAACAGGTTACTCTGCCACCATGCTGAAGCTCTACTTGGGAGCTCACGTTTGGCTTTCTCTGAAGCACCAGTCCAGTTTTGCTGGCCCAAGAGGTGCTCAGCTAAAGCACCAATAGGTGGGAGAAAGTTCTAGGCCCTGTCAGCAATAACAACTTCCTGGCAGGAGGTGGTGAGTCACTCATTTCTGTTCCTGATTCTCAGCCAGCTCATTGTTAAGTAGCGATAGAGGTAGGAAAGAAGAATCTGTCACCTAGAGTTGTTGGGAAGGCTAAATGAGTGGCACATGTCCCATAAAAATGTCCTATAAATGAGAAAGAGCTGTTGAGCAGAATTTAGGAATGGTCACAGCAAACAATTACAAACTGCATTAACACTATTCTTTCTCCTCTCCTCAAGTGTCCATTTGTTAAAGTTGCCCTGGTCCTTTTTTGGCTTCCTTCATTCTTCTTCATTCATTTACTCACTTATGTAACAATTATTTATTGAGCTCCATTGAGTGTTGACTCTGAGGCAAGTATAGATGATGCCATTTGACAAAGAGGAAGTCCAAAAAAGTAACAGGAGTCATATAAGCTAATTGTTTAGTGGCAGAGGCAAATCATACCTTTCAGCCCAAAGTCTGAAAATACCAACTTTACCAAGTCTATTCCCAAATAGCATTTCTTAGGCTCAAGAACTTGTTTGTTTCTATCAAGATGTCTGTGCCAGCCCCTTCACAGGGACTCTTCTTGTATCATAGACAATGGAATCCTAGGATGGAGGAAGTAGCAATATTTGCTTCAACAGCCATAGTGTCAAATCACATTCCCACTACAAAGTCAGGCTCAAATTTAAGCCTACCCTTCTAAGGCATTTGGTCTCGATCTCCAATCAATGAACATACTGCCCAAGGTTGATAGGAGCTTTCTTGATGTTTTATCTTTTCTTTTTTTCCTTCCTTTTGTTTTTGTTTTGGGTTTTTTTTCGGTGGGGGGGTGATACTGGGGTTTGCACTTAGGGCCTCGCACTTGCTAAGTGGGCGCTCTACCACTTGAGCCACATATGTTTTTTTTTTTTTTTTAGTTATGCCCGAGATCAACAAGAGAAACTGATTCTAGAGCTCTTCCTTTATTGTTTAGAAACAGCTCCACAACTACTATCTGTGACCTCAAGTAACTTAGTTAAATTTGACAAGCTTCACTTCCTCAAATTTTCAGATCAAGATGTTAATAACTCCTCTGTCGTGGGATTAATTTGGGACTTCCACATGGAAGCTCACCCATGTGGCAGCAGGTCATTAATCACAGTAAATCTTAAAGTAGTTATCCTGGAGTCTGACACATATAGATAATAATAAGTTATTCTTCTATTTCAGTAAATGCTAGTTGTATTTTATTATATCACATTCAAATGAACTGAACCATAGGGATGGATCAGTTATACTTCTTGATAAGGCAGCTTTAATTGAGTCACCATTCCTATTTTGAGATGAAAACAATATATAACGAACTATTTGGGAATAACAAAAAACCCTTAACAAATAAGTCTCAAGAGGAAAAAAAAAAAACTCTGTCTGCCTCTACACTTGAGTTGTCACTGTGCTGGAGATCTGACTCAATGTCTTGAATGACTAAATCAGAGAAAAAAGTCAAAATTGCATTTAAATGCCTGTGGAAAGAGCCTCTAATACAGTCCATAAGACTTCCAAGATGGAAACATTTGAGACATTTAAGTGTTCCCTCATGTTCTTTCCAGCCTCCCACAGCAGCCATGGTTGCCTCAGGGTGGAGTTCTTCTGCCTGTTCATCAAATTGAGTTCCTGCTGCCAGGATGGAGAAGAATTTCCTTAAAAGGATTTTAAAAGCTCAAAAATGAGATGGTGGTGCATGCCTATAACCCCAGCTACTGGGGAGGTAGAAGTAGGAGGATCTTGGTCTGAGGCTGGCCCTTGGCAAAAGCACAATACTATATATGAAAAATAAACTAAAGCAAAAAGGACTGGAGGTCTGGCTAAGTGATAGAGTGCTTGCTTGCCTAGGTTGAGTTCAAACCCCAGTACTAAACATACACACACCAAAAGAAGAAAAAAAAGCTCAAAAGAAGCAATGTACCATAGGTCATCCTTCAGTGACAGAAGACTCTTGAACCTCCAAAAACTGGAAGTTATCAGTAAAATATGTTACGGAGAAGTTTTCAAGACTCTGTATGTTTTCTGGAGCATGTAGCTTTGAAGAGAACCCTGTAGAGTATGGTTCACGTACTACCTTCAGGAATACCTGCCAGCTTGTGCTAGGGTGGGGGAGTAGTACAGTCAGTATTTCTAAAACCAACTGTGGCATTTGCATGAACAGATGTAAAACACAAGCTTTTTCTTTGAAGGCCAGAATTTTAGTCTGACTTGTTCATTGCTGGATCTTGAATACATAAAACATTGCCTGACACATACTAGGCACTCAGTATTTGTGTAATAAATCATGGCTTTCCTAGGCAGACAAATATCTCTCTAAAGGTTGCCCTAGATAAATGTCTCCTTCCCCGTGTGAACTGGGCTTTCCAAAAGGCCATACTAGATGGTACAAACCTCCTAGCAATGGTCAATTACAGGCACAATAGCCGGAAATTTCGCTTCAGGTCTGAAGGGACTGAATGCTTACAGTTACAACGGTACTGATGAAAAGCAGCAGGTACCACTCTGTGGGTCTTCTCAGGTGGAAGACTGCCTGTGTTACATTCTGTTCAGTTATTTTACAAATCAATCAGGAATTCCCTCCCCCATCCAATTCAACTGTTGCTTTTTGGCCCTCAGATGCTGCTGTGCAGATAATAAGTTTTCTTCATAGCTGCTCATCAAATGGTATCATTTTACCCATGGCTGCTCAAGCATCTTTGGCTTCCCAGGCCTCTGAGTAAATATGTAAATGAATGTAGTTTGAGCACTATGAGATCATGCTTTCTCTTTCCCACAATAAGTTACTAATGTACAACGGGTACAGACTGCATGCTGGTCCGGGGCAATGAGAGCCTCTATCAGTTCAGGCACAGGGAGAAGCCTGGGGAAGATGGAAGGATCAGGTTGCAACTTTGAGCAGCAGTTCATCATATAATTGGATCAGTCATGCAATCAAAGAAGATGTCATGTGGTTTAAGCAGACAATGGCCCAAGAGAATAAAAGCTCCACACAGAAGAGGGACAAAGAGAACATCGCCCAAGATTCCCTTTTTCAGGCATTAGTCTTTCAAATCAAAATCCCAAAGGTCTTGTTTCTGTACTGTGGAACCGGGATGTAGAACCTGGACAACAGGCTCCAATTCAGAGAACTGAACCCCCAAAAAAGGATGAGTCTCCCTCATTGGATAACCCAAGACGACCGATTGGGCAGACCAATGAGTTAGGAGGTTGAAGTCCTGAAGTCTGGTCCCAGCATGTCATTAACTTGTTTGACTCAGCCAAAGCATGTTTTTCTGTCAGCCTCACTTTCTCCATTTGTAAGACAAGAATAATAATCCTCTCTCACTTATTCTAAAGCTATCGTGTGAGGGTCAGACTTATGAAAGTGCTTCAAAGAGGGCAGAATATAGGTAATACACATATTCCGGCATTATTAGATGATAATAAGCCCAAAAACCTGCATAGTCATCAGCCATCATTTAACCAAGCCTGCTCTATGAGAGGTGTTAAGTACCAAGCCCTATCCTTAGGGTGGAATGGGATCTCTCTCAAAACTGCTGCATCCCGTCAAAGCTCCTCTCTCCCAAGGACAGAGGAGAATGGAATCCCAGACACTCTATGGGGCAGCTGAGACCAGCCCTTTGGGTGCACAAACCAGGCACTGCATGGAGCTTCCCAGGGCTCTGTGACACTCACAATCCAGCCACCTCCATCCGTGTCCATGTCACAGTACACCTGCATGGGCCGGCTGACGTCACCATTCAGGTAGATTGTGTAGAGGCCACTGGCAGCGTTGCTGTTCTGCTGAACCTGACTGCAGTCCGAGGGGTGTGGGAAACGAGCATCAACTGAGAGTCAAACAGAAGGACAGTGTCATTAGAAGAAAGGCAAGGAAGAAAGGCAATGAGGCTTTTACCTTTTTTTAAGGACAATTTTATTTTGCTTGAAAATTATTCCATAACCTCCTACCATTCTGCTTCTCCAACTCTTTAATCACATCTTATTTTTCTCACTCACTCTGCTGTCAGCAAACTCCACAAATGCACTTCAAGGTCAAGTTCATATCACACACATGCACCCCAACTCAACATTCCTGCAACATAAATTATACTCTATTTTGCTCCCCTCTTTAGTCTCTGTCTGTGGGGATAGATTTCTTTTGAACCCATAATCCCATTTTCATTTCCCGTGCCAAAACTTCTGTAACTCTGTATCCACTTGCTCCTCCCTGGCCTTTCCAAAGCTTGTCCTCTACTGCACTGTCACTCCCAGGGCTGGATTCCACATTACCTGTAGAGAGGGTGGTGGATACAGTTCTGCTTTGGCGATCACTCTTAAAGGCAACTAATGAGACAGGATAGGTGACACCCTGCTCCAGGCCCTGCAACTCAAACCTCTGCTCTCCTCTTTGGAGCCGCACCTCCTACAGAACAATAGAGAAGTATAGTCAGTGATTCAGTTTATCTTCCCGTAAGACCCTAGATGACAATTGCATTCCCTGGTACTACTGGTAGACTCTCACCAAAGGCTCAATGACAGCCCAGAATTCTAGTGAGTTTTGGCCACTTCTCTGGAGGGCAGTGCCACGGTGATCCATCCAGTTACTGGAAACTCTAGCTGAAAGCCAAGGTCATGTATTGCCACCTGAGGAGCATCAGCCAGGTTTCCCAGGGACTTCCACCTTTAGCTGTATGCTGGGGCACTGGCTATAACCACTGCTAGCAGCAACAGGCTGGCAATGCCAGGCCAAGGTGATATTAAAAGAGAATGTGAAACTAGACATTGATATCTATGAAAGAAAGGAAATAGTTGGCACTTCAATAAATCCTTGTGAATCTCTCTTCCTTCCTTTATAAGAACAGGGCTAACTTCCCTAGCAGAACTGTCATAAACATTCACGGTGATAATAAATATATCAAAGAGCCCTTCCTTTTTTCCTTCCTCCTTTTTTTCTTCCTTGCCAAGGGTAAACATGAAAATTTTCTATTAGAACAAGGTTTGAAGTTTTTCTGGCCTTCAGATTCAAGGGGAGGTATAACCCTTAAAATAATTAATTCATTCAAAAAATACTTATTGATGGCTGGATATGGTGGCATACACTTATCATCTCAGTGACTCAGGGGGCTGAGGCAGAAGGATTGCAGTCTTGAGAATTGCAATTTAACAAGACTATCTCAAAATAAATAAAATAAAAATTAAACTTAACTAAAATTAAATTGAAAACTACTAGGGATGCAGCTCAGTGGTAGAGTGCTCACCAAGGATGTGAAAAGCTGAGTTCAATCTCCAGTACCCCTAAAAATTACTGAGAACCTACCATGTGCAAAGCACTATCCTAAGCAATTCATATACAACAATAAACAAAACAGACAAAAATTCCCAGCCCTCGTGGAACTTACATTTATTATGGAAGACCAACAATAAATTTTAAAAATATAAGGCTAGACATGTAGCTCAGTGGTAGGACATTTTTGCCTAGCATGTTCAAGGTTCTGGATTTGATCCCCAGCACCACAGGGGGAAAAGGCACCAGATCTGGGGATGTAATTCAGTGAAAGAGCCCTGCCTAGCATGCACAAGCCCTTGGGACTCATCCCCATTACCAGTAAATAAATAAATAACATGGTGGGAGATGTACAGCTAGCAACTATGCAGCGTTCAGCTAGGAGCAGGCACAAAGGTTAGTCCTTGCAATGAGACCATAGTGCTCACAAATGACTGTGCCTTGCCCATAGCAAGTGATCAATAAAACTCAATGGATTAATCAGCAGCTTGCCATATAGACAGCAATCAACCTGATTTGTCCAAAACAGTTGAGTCACAGAAAGGCTGTGAAGAGAAGGCACCAAGAGAAAGACAATGATAGCCAGAGTACCTTCACTGTGCCATTTGGGAACTGGTAGGTGAGAATGTAGCCATCAATCTGAGCAGAGGGGGGCATCCAGGTCAATACACCACTGGAATGTGTCACACCAAATGGACGAAAGTTTTTGGGAGGGTCGATTTCTGTAAATAAAAAGTCAGGCAATTATTATTACTAAAATACAACAGAGACTAGATAATTCTTAAGCTATCAATTGTATTTTTCTGCACATATCCTCCCATTTCTCCTCTTTCCTTCAAGCAGGTAGTAAATTCTGCTCTTCCTAGCCACAGAGCTGTCCTAACCTTTGTTTCCAAAAGCACAGACCCACTGAGGATAAGAGGACTGAGAAATGGGGCACTGGGTGGATCTCAGAGGGAGGGAATCTGGAATACCACCACCCCAGCAGATTTCCAGAGAGTAGTGGATACTGAGCAGTAGAGGTTAGCAGACGGGTTCTCAGCAATGGCAGGGACCCAAAGTAACATAAAAGAACAAGAGCCACAGATCTAAAAAGTTCCTGTACACAGAACCTAGTGCTAACTCAGAAAACACCTGCCTAGAGAGACAACCAAATGCCTGATAAATTCCCAAAGACTTAATATTCAGCCCCGAGGAAGGGGCAAGACTCTAAAGGTACGGAGATTATTGACCATCAAGTGTAATGGGGTTTGTGATGGAAATTAAGAAATATAGCCTGCCGGAATAGCTCAAGTGGTAGAGCACCTGCCTAGCAAGCATGAGACCCTGAGTTCAAACCCCAGTCCCATCAAAAAAAAAAAAGTGGAAAAAAGAAATATAAAAATACTTCTTTAATATCTTAGTGTGTGGCCTTACATGCATACCCAGTACAGAAAGAAGGGAGGAGAGTGCTTATAGAAAGAAAGAAGGGGAGCAGGGTTTAAAAATAAAACAACAAAAAAAAAAAAACGCCTTCTTTCTTGAATGCACTTCACCACCCAAACACCAGAGAGCATGTGTGAGTATACAAGCAGCGAAACCAAACCTCCGCAAAAACACTAGTCACCATAATAACTGGTCAGACTTCTTTTTTTTTAACCAAATAAGATATGAATGGAAATGTCCACTTTGAAAAAACATCATAGAAGGCAATTTTAATTTAGAACTTCCCAAAAAGACATCTCCAGGCTATTTTCTACTCAGCAGCCTTTCAGCAGAGAACTGAATTACAGTGTCTTAATAGAACTCAGGCAGCTGTTGTTTTGAATTAGGTTGTTTTGACAAATTTTGAATTTCTATAATATCAGCTTGGTTTGATTTTCTAAAGCATAACATCTGGCATGGATCTTATTCTATCCATCACATGGGAAAACTGAACTTCCTTTCCAAATCAAAGCAAAACTGTACTATTTAAATATCTTAAGCTAGTTTCTGACATCTCTTTGCTTACTGGTCTCCTGGCCATGGACTTTCAATGTCTGTTTTGGTTACTTTCACATTTCTATGAAGTAGAAAGATGATCATTTCATTATTATCTTTAAAAAATGGGGAAATTAAACAATGAGAAGATAAAGGAGGAAGAGAAGATAAAAGGAACAAGGAGAGAAGAAGAAAGAAATGGAGGCAAATGGAGGGAGGAAGTGGAGGAGGGAGACCCTGGTTATTGGTTGCCTCTGGAGAGTCACACAGGGTTCTCAGGAGTCTGGGATAGAGAAAAGAGGCACTTTTTTGTTTTTGTTTTTGTTTTTATACACCTTTATTTAACTTGAAATTTTTTGTTATAAACACATATTAACTTGGGGATTAAAAATGTTTGCTAAACTGGGTGTAGTGGCTCACACTTGTAATCTCTGCTACTCAGGAGTTAGAGATCAGGAGAATCACAGTCTGAGGCCAGGCCCTGCAAAAAGTTAGGGAGATTCCCCGCATCTCAACCAATAGCTAGGCATGGTAGTGCACTACATGGGAAGTGTAAATAGGAGGACGGCCAGCCCAGGCCTAAGTGTTGGGGGCATGGCTCAAGAATGGAGCAACTGCCTAGCAAGCACAAAGTCCTGAGTTCAAACCCCAATTGTTTTTGTCTAATTTTAACTAATAAAAACCAGAAAGAAATTGAAGGCACCTCTAATTCCCATAGCCCCGGTTGCTGCAATTGACCATGGAGGGGATGAACAGATCTTTCCCAGACTGTGTGGAAGGACCGATGGACCTCCATGTCAAGTGAGGCCTGACTCCATAAAGCTCAACTGAGACCAGAGGCCACATCATGCACTCAAAGAAGAAATTGAAATGGCCAGAAAACACATGAAAAAATGCTCACCATCTCTAGCAAAAAGGAAATGCAAATTAAAACCACACTAAGATTCCACCTCACCCCTGTTAGAATAGCCATCATCAGCAACACCACCAACAACAGGTGTTGGCGAGGATGCGGGGAAAAAGGAACTCTCTTACACTGTTGGTGGGAATGTAGACTGGTACAACCACTCTGGAAAAAAATTTGGAGGCTTCTTAAAAAGCTGGACATCGATTTACCATTTGATCCAGCAATACCACTCTTGGGGATATACCCAAAAGACTGTGACACAGGTTACTCCAGAGGCACCTGCACACCCATGTTTATTGTGGCACTATTCACAATAGCCAAGTTATGGAAACAGCCAAGATGCCCCACCACTGACAAATGGATTAAGAAAATGTGGTATCTATACACAATGGAATTTTATGCAGCCATGAAGAAGAACGAAATGTTATCATTCGCTGGTAAATGGATGGAATTGGAGAACATCATTCTGAGTGAGGTTAGCCTGGCCCAAAAGACCAAAAATCGTATGTTCTCCCTCATATGTGGACATTAGATCAAGGGCAAACACAGCAATGGGATTGGACTTTGAGCACATGATAAAAGCGAGAGCACACAAGGGAGGGGTGAGGATAGGTAAGACACCTAAAAAATTAGTTAGCATTTGTTGCCCTTAACGCAGAGAAACTAAAGCAGATACCTTAAAGCAACTGAGGCCAATAGGAAAAGGGGAACAGGTACTAGAGAAAAGGTGAGATCAAGAAGAATTAACCTAGAAGGTAACACCCACGCACAGGAAATCAATGTGAGTCAATACCCTGTATAGCTATCCTTATCTCAACCAGCAAAAACCCTTGTTCCTTCCTATTATTGCTTATACTCTCTACAACAAAATTCGAAATAAGGGCAAAATAGTTTCTGCTGGGTATTGAGGGGGGGGAGAGGGAGGGGGTGGAGTGGGTGGTAAGGGAGGGGTGGGGCAGTGGGGAGAAATGAACCAAGCCTTGTATGCACATATGAATAATAAAAGAAAAATGAAAAAAAAAAAAAAAACCACATATAACCCAGGCACCTTCAATCTTCAAGTGGTAATGGCATAGAGGAAGATGCTCCACCATTAGCATCAGGGAAGCTAGAAACAGAAAAGGCCTTTCTGTATTCCATACTGGACCAGAGGCTCAACCAGGTTCTGCTATCCAAGCCTCAGTGGATGTGACTGAGGGAAGCCACCTTTTCCACAACCATCATACCACGTGATCCACACCTATTTCTTCATATCCAAGTATTAGCTCAAAAAAAAGTAAACAGGAAGCCACTTTGAAGAATGTCCTCAGGTGGCCAATAGGAAAAGGGGACCAGGAACTAGAGAAAAGGTGAGATCAAAAAGAATTAACCTAGAAGGTAACACCCACGCACAGGAAATCAATGTGAGTCAATGCCCTGTATAGCTATCCTTATCTCAACCAGCAAAACCCCTTGTTCCTTCCTATTATTGCTTATACTCTCTCTACAACAAAATTAGAGATAAGGGCAAAATAGTTTCTGCTGGGTATTGAGGGGGGGAGCGGGAGGGGGCGGAGTGGGTGGTAAGGGAGGGGGTGGGGGCAGGGGGGAGAAATGAACCAAGCCTTGTATGCACATATGAATAATAAAAGAAAAATGAAAAAAAAAAAAGATTGTCCTCAGGTAAAGTAAGCACCTTCCCTGCTCACCATTATGGAGGAAGACTTGCTTTTGATAAACATGAAGGGACCCTCACTGGTCCCTCACAGTACCTGTCAGGGCCTTGGTGTCAGCCTTCTTGCTCTCCCGGATTCCTTTCTGGGCCCACACGTGGACTGTGTACTCCACACCTGGCCTCAGGCCCATCAGGACAGTGCTGCTCTGATCCTTTGCCACAGGAGCCTCCTTGGTCTCTCCATCAGCAGAGCTGTAGCTCACCATGTACCTGTCAATGTTGGCTCGCACTGGGTCCCAGGAGATGGTGGCTGTAGTCTCTGTTACCCGGTTGGTCACCAAGTTTTTAGGGCTGTCAATTTCTTTTTTAAAAGATTTAGAAAAGACCGACTTTAGGTCCAAGGGAGAGTGTCTTATGACCCCATCCCAAGGACCTCTCCACTCAGGTTATCATTAATAAAGGTATAATTCCAGTTAAGATGGGGGTAAAAAGCTCCAAATTTCATTTCCCAGGGAAACAAGCAAGTGGATTTTAAAACTAAAAGGAATCAAATCACCTCACGTTTATCAATACAGAAATTTTCTATCCCTATACTTTTCACCAAAATAACAATAAAAATACAAACAATAAATATAACCATCAAAACTGCTGTTGGAAGAGCCTCTGTTATTATCCCCAAGGTATCTAGTTACATTGCACCAAATTTGAGAACTAAGTCATGCCTTCTACTCTTCTTAATTTATAAAAGGAAAAGAAAATGAAACCTAAGAAACGAAGAGTCTTGTGCAAGCTCCGGTTGTTTTCTTCTGTTCAAACTAAGACTAGCTCTCCATTCTGAGCTCTCCCACTTTCTCAAGGACTTTACTCCTTTCATTTACCACCTCTCTCCTACACAATTAGTCTCAGAAAAGCAAACTCTAGAATGTCTCATCCCTTCCCATATCATTCCCTTTCTCTGTACTTCTCAACTGACAGATTTAAGAGAAGTATCTAGATATCTTAGCTTCACTCACCTCCTATTCATTCCTCAATTCAATCATGTTTGGCACCTATCTGTACTACATCACTAGGTCTCCTAATCTAGGTCACAAACAACTTTTGTCTGGACAACTTTCTAGTGGACATTTGACATCCAGGCTTTACTTGACTTTTGAGTATCATAGGCAGAAGTAATCTACTCCATACTTCTTGAAACACTCTCAGCTGTTGGCTTCCATGACTATACACTTTCTTGATTTTTCTCCTAATTCACTGCCTCCACTACCTCCTCTTCAGTCTTTTATATCAGACTTCAAATGTTGTAGTATACAAAGTACCTTCTTTTCTTCTCTCTCTACATTCTCCATAGGTGATCTCACCATGTCCACAATTTGAAATACCAACAGAGCTCATTGCTTCACAAAAGTATCACTTGTGATCCCCTGACTTGTATCTACTATTGTATATCCATCACAGCACCTGGCCTATGTTACTTAGTAAGTATTTGTGGACTTAATAAATAATTTACTCAATCAACCAAGGAATCTCAAACTGAAATCCTTAACAGTCTTAATGTTCTCTCCAAACATTTGCCTCTCAACCTCCCTAAGAAAATAGTACTACAATTGTCCATGTGGCTCAAATCAGAAACACAGGCCATACTTGATTCCTCACTTTCTTCTCACCTCACATCTCATCCATCAAGTATGCCATATATACCTCCAAAGTATGTTCTTGGACATCCCCTTTCCCCCATCCCTACTGCCATCACACTTGTCCAAATCATCACCATCTCTCCTGGTTTTATAATAGCTTCTTTACTAATCTTCCCACTTCAACCCTTGTCATTTCTCCCATTTATTCTCCTCACTGTAGCCTGGAAAATGTTTTCTAATGAATATTGTATCATGCCACTCTTCTTTTAATAAATGTACCACACTTCCTGCTTTAGCACAATGTGGTCCTGTATGACCTGACCCATGCTCTTTCCTGCCTCATCTCAGGACAGTTATTATTTCACCTTCTTCTCTCCTATGACATCAGCCTCTTTTCAGTTCCTCAACCATGTTGTGTGACATGCCAGGTTAGGGCCTACACCATAAATGGCTAGTCTTCCCCAAGATTCATCCTCCCCTTCTCCTACAATCATATTGTCCAATAGATCATCCTGCAATAATGCAAATTTTCCAAAATCTGCACTATTCCAATATATTAGCCATTAATCACATGTGGCTGTTGACCATTTGAAAGGTGGTTAGTCCAACTGAGGAAACAATTTTTTAATTAATTAAAATTTAAACATGGCTATTTAATATTACAGGACACTTTTACAGGACAGTGTAGCAGAAGTTAAAGCTGGGAATGTGGCCATCCATGTAAAGACCTTATTTCCTAGCCTCCCTTGTAGAGATCTGACACTTTGTCTTGGATCTGACAGTGAAATGTGAGGATAACGGATGTGTGCAATATTCCAGTCATGCCCTTCTCTTTCCCATACCCCTTTCCATGGATGGATACCATGTAAATGACAGCAACTCCCTAGGGATAACTGAGCAACAATAGACAAGGATCTGGGTCTCCTGTACCAGGGAGCTGCTGTCAGCCCTGGCCCATTTATACTCTGCCATTCTACAGAGTGGCACAAACTCCTTTCTTGTTTAAATAACTGCTATTTGGGTGTTTCTGACCATATGAATCCTAGTATGACTCACCCTATTTAAGAACTATCCCTACTTGTTATTCTCTATACTTAATACCATGTTCACCTCCTTTGTAAAACTTACCAGAATTTATAGTTATAAATTTGTTCTCTTGTTTATTGTCTATCTCTCTCATTGAACTTTAATAGGCAATTACCCTACCACTTGAACCATTCCATTGGCCTTCCCATTGGACTTTAAGAAAGTAAAATCATATCTATTTTGTTCACCACTCTAATGCTAAACCTGGAACTTAGATGCTCATTAAAAATTAGTTAACCACAGGCTGTAGCTGCCGGGTTTATATCTGTAACTTTATATTATCCATTAACTAATAAGTCAAACCAACATAAAATTGCTTGCCACAAGACAGTTGTTTAATCCAATGGTTTAAGGAACTTTATATTGGTTTTGCATTATTTCCTACAATTTCCAAAAACCATGTGAGAAACACATGGTTAAGAACATAGTCTTTAAGAGGAGTTTTAAGAAGATTACTCAGCAATGAGTCTATTACTTATGTTTTGTTCTTTCTTCAGGTGAATGAAGGTTTTGTACAGCTAACTCTCAGTATGGTTTGAATGTGTGACTCCTCTAAAACTCAAGATGAAATTTAATTGCCACTGTAATAGTATGAAGAGGTAGAACCTTTGAGAAGTGATTGGATCATGAGGGTTCTGCTCTCATGAATAGATTAATGCCATTATCACAGGAGTGAGTTAGTTATCTCACGAGTGGGTTTCAGTTCAGTGCCCTCTTGCCCTCTGTGTTGCATGCATGCTCACTTGTCCTTCTGCCGTGTTATTATACAGCACAAAGACTCTTGACAGATGCAGACACCATGCTCTTGGACTTGTCAAACTTCAGAACTACTAGACAAAACCCTGGGTTGTTTATAATTTACATAATCTGTGGTATTCTGTTATAGCAACAGAAAATGGATTAAGCCACTCTCCTAAAACAAACCACACAGTTCCTGCGGCCACAAACTCCAAAAGCAGCTGTGTCATAGATCAACCTGCAATAATTAATCCAGTGTGCTCATCTCTTTCCTCCTACAATCTGCCAATGTAAGAAAAGGAAAATAAAACTTGATTTCTCATAGACTTAGCATGACAGGTGTTAATTCCCAAAGAATAATGTTCATTACCTGTGGGGGCCTTGGTGTCAGCCTTCTTGCTTTCCCGGGACCCTTTCTGGGCCCACACGTGAACTGTGTACTCCACACCTGGCCTCAGGCCAGTCAGGACAGTGCTGCTCTTCTCCTTCCTCACTGGAATCTCTCTAGTCTCTCCATCGGCAGAGGTATAGCTCACCATGTACCTGTCAATGTTGGCCTGCACTGGGTCCCAGGAGATGGTGGCCGTGTTCTCTGTCACTTGGTTGGTCACCAGATTTTTTGGGCTGTCAATGTCTACAAGGAAAAGTGCTATTCAATATGTGCTATTAACAGGCTTCTGGGTACAGAAACAGGTGCCATATTTCCTGAGGTGAGATTCTTTCATGTTTTATGGTCTCTATCTCATACACTCTCTTTTTGTTTTAGTTGTCTTGTTTTGTTTGTGTGTTTGTTTGCTGTTTCACACACAAATATTTTTTCCCAAATATACTTTTTTCCCCAAATATACTTATCTCCTCAAGCAGAATGCTCAAAAGACCAGAATTTGAAAACCGGGGTTATAACCTCTACCAAAAGTTTAACATAACAAATATCTTTATTCATTTAGTAAAGTACATTGCGTTCCAAGTCTGTACAAGTCATGTTCTAGGCAGTACACAGAGTTCAGAACTGAAGAAGACTAAGCCTTTGCTTACAAGGAGCTAAAATTTTGTGTCCACCATCATTGCAATGAAGACTTCTACCTCATACCAAATGTAAGTTCCTCAGATCCAAATGTAAGTTCCAGGGTGAAGAAGACTGCATCCTGCCCCCTTTGTGCTTCCAGTGCCCAGTAGAAGACAAGGCATTTGGAAGGTCCTCAAGACATATTGTTAAATAAATCAGCAATTTCCTTGATAAACATCAATTATCAAAAAAAATTCTCAATAAAAATATTTGCAAGTCAAATTTAACAACACATTAAAGAGATCATATACCATGATCAAGTTGATTTCATTCCAGGGATATAAAGATGGTTCAACATATACAAATTAATAAATGCAGTATAGAACATAAATAGAATCAAAAACAAAAATCACATAATCATCTCAATAGATGAAGAAAAACGCTTTAACAAAATTCAGCATCCCTTTATGATAAATGGTTTGAAGAAACTAGGAATAGAAAGAATGCATCTCAACATAGTAAAGGGTATACATGACAAATCCGTAGCCAACATCAAACTAAATGAGGAAATACTAGAATCACTTCCTCTAGAATTAAAAATGAGACAAGGGTGTGCCCTCTCCTCACTCTTATTCAATATAATACTGGAATTCTTAGCCAGAAAATAAGGCAAGAGAAAGAAATAAAAGGGATTTAAATAGGGAAGGAAGAATTCAAAGTATTCCTATTTGCAGATGATATGATCTTATACCTAAAAAATCCTAACTGTTCCACTGAAAAACTCCTACATCTAATTAACACTTTCAGTAATGTAGCAGGATATAACATTAACATACAAAAACCAAAAGCTTTTCTATATATCAACAATAAACAATTCTACTCACAATAGCCTCAAAAAAAAAAAAATACCTAGGAACAACTTAACTAAGGAGGTAAAAGACCTCTACAATGAAAACTATAAAAACTTGAAAAGAGAAATTGAAAAAGGCACCATAAAATGGAAACTCCCCCCTGCCATATTCATGGGTTAGTGGAATTAATATTGTGAAAATAGAGATATTACCAAGAACAATCTGCAGATTAAAAAATATATAAAAAACACATTCTAATATTCTTCTGCAAGTACAGATACCCTTGCCATACTGGTTTGATGGTCACATCACTATTTAAAATATGACCATGCATCTCTTTCACACTAGTAAGATAAGAATGCAATGAAGAGTTACCATATTCTCACAACAGAGGCCAACTTATACTTTGCTGTTCTACAGAGAGGATTAAACTACTCTCTTATTTAAGAAACTGTTGTTTGAGTTTCTGTCAATATGTACCCTATTGCTATTTACCCAGCCTGTCTAAGAAACTTCCATACCTCATTATTCTCTATACCTACACCATATGCACCTCACTAATAGAAGGTATCATTTATGATTACAAATTTGTTTCATAGCTATACTGTGACTCATTTGTAGTAAAGTAAACCACACACATATATTTTCTATGGCAGATGTCAAATCTATATTCTTTTTATTAGCATATATTAATTGTACAAAGGGGCTTCATTGTGATATTTCCACACCTGCATATATATCTTGATCATATTCACTCTCTATTACTCTTTCCTATACAAAATATATATATTCTTAAAAATGAAATTTTTAATATACTATCATTAATTATATTTTATTTTCACTTTCTGTTCTTACTCACAAACTTAGTATGTTTAGCAAATGATCCATGAACTCAGAAGAGGATTTGTAGAAACAACCATCCACAAAACAGCTTGGAGATGGTCACCAAGATCTGACTTCTAAGGAAACCAGTTAAAGGAAAGTGAAGAAGAGTGCACGTAGTTGATTATGAAGAGAAACTGTTCTATGCTTCCACATATCATCAATTTCTGCACATGCCACAGAAGGAGAACAAAGCTTGACTTCCCATAAGCTTAGCATGGCAGGTGTTACTTTTACAAAGGACAATTTTTCATTACCTGTGAGAGCCTTGGTGCTGGCCTTCTTGCTCTCCCGGGCACCCTTCTGGGCCCACACGTCAACCTTGTACTCCACACCTGGTCTCAGGCCAGTGAGGATGGTGTTCTTCTGCTCCTTTCCAATCAGAAATTCCCTAGTCTCTCCATCAGCAGAAGAGTAGTGTAGAATGTACCTGTCAATGTCAGCTTCCACTGGGTCCCAGGAGACAGTGGCAGTGTTCTCTGTCACCTGGACAGTCACTAGGTTTTTGGGGCTATCAATGTCTAAAAGGAAGAATGCGGATCAATAAACATTAGTAATAGGCACCAAAGAGTATATTTTGCTTAGGCTGAGAAAGTTTTCTGTTATGGTTTTCCCATCTCGTATGTTGGTTTTCAGTTGTTCCATGGACATAATTATAGACCTTGTCTCCACAGCTGGACTCCTAGATCCTCAGAGAGGCAGCACAGGACAGTGGAAGGAACAACACATCAGGGGTCTGAGTCTGGGCTCCAATTGACAGACCACTGATGTTAACCCAGCTCTGGCATTGGCCACAGTTCAGCTGTCTCTGACAACACCTCAGTTTCTTCATCTATAAATGTGGGCCTCAGAATAGACAGATTTTAAGGTATATTAATATTCCATGAGCATTTCAAGAATCAAACCCCATGAATCATCAGCTAACCATGTGATTCACAGAAATTATGCACTGCACTGTATTTGAGGATTTTCAATTATAAATTGGGGGATGTTGATTCCAGATGAGAAGACCAAGTAAATGAAGAAAACACCCCTCACTTAATTGCTAGTAGTTATGTAAAATGACATAATCGACATCAAAGTATATTGGCTGTTTCTCAAAAATAATGACAGAATGATCCAGAAATTCCACTCCTAGCCATATATGTCCATGCAAAAACTGACGGCCAAATGCTCATAGCATCATTATTCTCAATAGCAAAAGAATGGAAGTTGCATGAGGAAATGCCTTCCTTTAGGAGCAGAGCTACATCCACAAAATGCTACATTTAAAAAGGGAGTTCTCAGGGCTGCCAACCTTACAACAGAGGTTGAATGGTAGTATAGTTCTCCTACAAAAAAGGGGAAAAAAAGAATGGAAGCAACCTAAGTGTTCAACAAATAACAAATGAATAAATAAAATGTAATACATCTATACCATGATATTGATTCACAATAAAATTAAGTACTAATATATGTTACAACATGAATGAACCTGGAAAATATCATACTTCATGAAAGAAGTCAGTCGCAAAAGGCCACACATTATATGTGTGATTCCATGAAAAAGTATTCCAAAAGAGAGAAATCTACACACAGAGCAGTTGTTAGCTAGGTCTGGAAAGAATGAGGATTTGGGAGTGAGTGACAATGAATAGAAGATTCATTTTGGTGATGAAAAACTCTAAATATACAGTGGTAATAATTGTATAATTCTGAGTTTAATAGTATGTAAATACATCTTAACAAGGCTATCCTTAACAAATGAGGAAACAAATATGGAAAAGCTTTAAAATTATCGGCTGTTAATTATATATATTTGCAACCATAGGCTCCTCAGAGAGGAATATACAGTACTCAAAGGAGAATTAATTCACCCAGAAAGCAATAACCCCGCCTGTTCCAAAGACATCACAGCAAAAGCCATTTCTCTAAAGTACTTAGCCCACACATCCCAACTACCTGACTTCTTTATATCTGTTCCTTTTTAAGAGGAATATTTTGAGATTGATCGTTATGGAAATACACAATTAGAGGAACAGAGGTGGATGTATCAATCACCATTGATCTTTAGTATGGTGAGGCTGCTTGTTGACTGGGGGGGCACACACCTATATCTTCAGCACTCAGAAGGCTGAGGCAGGAAGATCTCAAATTAAAGGCCAGCCTGGGCTGTTCACTGAGTTCCAGGCCAATATGGGGTAACTTGTGAGTCCCTGTCTCAAAAAACAAAGTATGAGACTGAATATGAGGTCCTTATTTTGAGATAATGTGTCAAAGGGAATTGAGTGACAGTGTGAGTAGTGTGACAAAAATCTACCATTCTAGTCTTCCACTGATCATTGATTTCTACCAAAGTCAGAGAAGGGAAATCAAATGTCTTCCTATAGACTTAGCATGACAGGCATTACATTCCCAAAGGACAATTTTCATTACCTGTGGGGGCCTTGGTGCTGGCCTTCTTGCTCTCCTGGGTCCCTTTCTGGGCCCATACATCAAACTTGTACTCCATGCCTGGTCTCAGGCCTGTGAGGATGGTGCTGCTCTTTTCTTTCCCCACTGGAACCTCCATGGTCTCTCCATCAGTAGAGGTGTAACGCATCACATACCTGTCAATGTCAGCCTCCACTGGGTCCCAGGAGACTATGGCAGTGTTCTCTGTCACCTGGTCAGTCACCAGGTTTTTGGGGCCATCAAGGTCTAAAAAGAAAAATGCTAATTGGTGAATCCTAATAACAGGGACTAAACAGTGAGAACATTTTGCCTGAGCTGAGTTTTCTGTTCTTGTAGCTGCCCCACCTCTTATGCTGGTTTTCAGTTGTTTCATGGACATAAACCTTGTCTCTGCAGCTGGACCCTTAGATCCTCAGGGGGGTGCACAGGACAGTGGAATGAGCACCACATCCAGTGTTAGAGGGACTGGGTTCTAGTCCCAGCCTGAGAGGCAGAGCTAAGGAGAAGAAAGCACCTTGGGCTCCAGTCAGCCCAGCATGAATCTTATCTCAGGTCTGTCATTGGCCAGCTGGGGCCTTGGACAACTCAGTTGCCTCTGACAACACCTCAGTTTCCTTATTTGTAAATGTGGGCCTCAGAATAAACAAATTTTAGGGTGTCCTAATATTCCATAAGCATTTCAGGAATCAAACCCCATGAATCATCAGCTAATCATGTGACTTATAGAAATCATGCTCATCATTGTATCTGGGGATTCTCAGCTGCAAAAAGGAGGTATTGATTCCTGATCTATGGGCTCACCAAATTCCTTGGAGGACCAAGTAAATGACGAATATAGTCCTCAATCTTTGCTGCTGGGCATGTAAAATTGAGCTATGACTTTGGAAACTTTCTGGCAGTTCCTCAAAAACGAAAGTTAGAATTACCAAATAATCCAGAAATTCTACTCTGAGTTAATAGTGATATGATTTCTCCTAAGAGAGGTGTATGCAGGGAAGTAGTTCAGTGTTAGAGCACTTACCTAGCATGTGTCAGGTCATGAGATGGATCCCTGGCACCACACACACACACACACACACACACTCACAAAAAACTTACACACAAATGTCCCCAGCATCATTACTCATAATAGCTAAGAAATAGAAACAAACCAATGTCCAACATATTGATAAATAAATGTGTATATCAATACAATGAAATATTAATTCATAATCAAATTAAGTATTGATACATGCTACAATGTGATGAGCCTGGAAAATAGAATGCTTCATGAAAGAAATGTCATAAAAGGCCACATGGTAGGGCTGGTAGAGTGGCTCAAGTGGTAGAGCACCTGCCTGGCAATTGTGAAGCCCTGAGTTCAAACTCAGTACCACCAAAGAAAAAAAAATTAAAAGGGCACATTGCATATGATTCAAAGTATATGAAATGTCCAGAAGAGGTAAATTTGTATAGCAGACAGTAACTGTTACCTAGGGCTTCAGAGAGTGAGGATAGAAGTAATTGGGAGTAAGTAGGTTCCTTGGTTATAATTGAACAACTCTGTAAATATACTAAAATGGCTGAATTGTACACTGTAAGGAGTGAATTTTAGTATGTAAATACATTGTAATAATGTCTTTAACAAATGAAGAAGCAGAGATGAAAAACTTTAAAATTATGAATTATTGTTTGTACATAATTGCAATGGTAGGATCCTTGAATAGAACACACAGCACACAAAGAAGGATTTATTCACTGAGAAAGCAATAATCCCTCATTGTTCCAAAGAGATCATTGCAAAAGCCATTTCCCTAAAGTACTTAGTGCACATATCCTAACATATATTTTTGTATCTTTTATCTTTTTTTATATCTCTTCAATTACAAGAGAAATATTTTGAAATTGACCACAAAGGAAATTTATAATTGTGAGAAGAGTGAGTGAATGTGACCAATCATTGTTTTTTTATGTGTGTGCTTTTCTTCTTGGTGCTGGAGATCAACCCAGGGCCTCACCCATTACACAAGTGTTCTACCACTGAGTTACAACCCCCCGACACACGCACACAGCCCACCATTAATCTTTATAAGGTCAAAGTATGAGGCTGAAAATGAGCTTCTCAATATGAAATGATACGTTAAAAGGGATGGAGTGAGTTGTAAGACAATGGTCTAACATCCACATTATCTATAATTATTTATTATTTTTACCAATATCAGAGAAAGAAACCCAAACTTAACCCCAATTAGGCATAGGATAATAGGTGTAACACTTTAAAGGATGAGATCAATTACCTGTGGGGGCCTTGGTGTTGACTTTCCTGCTCTCTTGGGTCCCCTTCTGGGCCCACAAATCAATCGTGTAGTCCACACCTGGCCTCATGCCTGTCAAGATGGTGCTGCTCTGATCTTTCCCAACCAGAAATTCCCTGGTCTCTCCGTCGACAGAGTTGTAACGTACCACATACCTGTCAATATCAGCCTCCACTGGATCCCAAGAGACAGTGACAGTGTTCTCTGTCACCTGGTCAGCCACTAGGTTTTTAGGGCTGTCAATGTCTAAAAGGAAAAAGTGCTGATCAATAAACACTATTAGCAGGCACCAAAGAGCAAGACCATCTTGCTTAGGCTGAGAGAGTTTCCTATTCTTATTGTTTTCCCTCATACTTTGGTCTTTAGTTATTTCATGGACAGCGACCTTGTCTCCACACTGGACTCTGGAGTCCTCAGGGAGGCAGTGCAGGACAGTGGAATGAGCACCACATCCAGAATTAGAAGGACTCGAAGCACTTTAGGTTCTACTCAGCTGATGACAGCTAGCTCTGCCATTGGCCAGCTATGGCTTTGGACACAGCTGCCTCTGACAACACCTCAATTTCCTCATCTGTAAATGTTGGCCTGAGATGAAACCAACCTTAATGTACCTTAATATTCCATAAATATTTCAGGAATCAAACTATATATATTTCAGGACCATCACCTAACCATGTGACTGGCAGAAATCAAGTACTTCACTTTATCTGAGTATTCTCAACTATAAAATGGGACATGGGTTCTTGCTCTACCAATTAAAAAAAATTCTTCTAAAGGCCAAAGTCAATGAAAAAAATATCCTGCATTTATTGCTGATGGGTATGTAAAATGGTACAACCACTTTTTTAATAGTGTGGTAGTACCTCAAAAATTAAAAATAGAATTACCATATAACCAAATAATCCCATTCTGAAGCATATACCTAAGAGAAATGAAGAAGACATATATGAACACAAAAACTTGAACACAAATGCCTCACTTAGCATCATTAGTCATAATAACAAGAGTGGAAACAACCCAAAAGTCCAATAAATGGCAAATTGATAAGCAAATATGTATATCCATACAACAAAATATTCATTCACAATAAAATTAAGTGCTGATCCATGTTACAATTTACATGAACCCAGAAAACATTATGCCTCATGAAAGAAGTCAGTCACAAAAGGCCATATATGGTATGATTGCGTGTACATGAAAATCGATTCAGACAGACAGCAGTTGTTACCTAAGGCTAGCAGTACTAAGCATGGGGAGTGACTGGTGATACTCCATAACAAGACCCTGTCTTAGAAAAAAAAAAAAGAGAGAGGGAGCTTTGAAAATATTAAAGTAATAAGGTGTTTACAGTTCTGAAGCCACAGAATAGTCACTCTGTAAGTCAAAGTATAATAACAGGTAAACCAGGCTTTGTGTCAAAATTTCTTCTCCAAAGGGGGGAAAACCAAAGAGTGGTTTATATCTTACAGAACTGTTGTAGTATATGATTTGATAACATGTCTCTATGACCATCTTAGCACTGAGTAGATGTCCAAGACCATCAACTATTATTGGTAATGGTATCAATTTATTGATAACTAATAAATCCAAAAGATTATTCTCCTCTGTGCTACACACTTAAAAGTTACTCAAAAAGGTATTTTACCAAGAAAATAGCATTATTTCTTTATTCTACACAGCTCATTCAAAAGCCATTTTCCTAAAGTCATTTGTTCAAAGGTCCTATCGCATATACTGCTGTAGGCTTTGACTCCAAGAAAACTGGTATCTATATTCCAACTTGAGTGCCCATAGTCAAGGTAGAAGCAAGTTTTAGGACCCTTGGCTGACCAACTATCTCCAGCCTATAAAAAAGGTTGGAAAGGCTAGTGAGTTGGGACTTAAGGAATGAAATTATTTGACCAGAGCTATCTAGTAAGGCCCATGGGTGGGACCCAAGCCTTAAATAAGCACTTTCCGTGAGATCACTTACAGAACTTGTGATGTATACTATAGAGCAAGAGATCTCAACAGGAGTGATTAGCATTTTCTGGAGACATTTTTGATGGTCACAACTCAGTGCAGGGTGGTGAGACTACTGGCATCTAATAAGTACACAGACATCAGGGACACTGCTAAATATCCTACAGAAATTGTCCCACTCAAAATGTCAATAATGCCAAGGTTAAGAAATTTTTCTTAAAGCTTGGGGAGCATTGTGGTCTGGTGTCTGACATATGACTAAAATATCTAAGGTGTGAGAGAATGTCTTGTTGCTTGATGCAGAGCAAGAGAGGCTGCAGCATTGCAAATGGCTGTACACCAAGTTGAATGGACAAAGGACACATGTGTGTTCCCCCTGGACCAGATGTGGGCCAACAGAGGAGGCTCTGTCTGGGGTTATCCTAGAGAAATACCTAGAGGAGCAAGGTGACTCCATCAGAGACACGAGAGTGCATCTTCTGATGTATGAATGGAAGGAGGGGAGCAAGAGACCAGAGGACACCAGCATTTACCCATAGGATTAGTATAGTGAGAAACACCAATATAAGACAAGCACAAAAGTGCTCCATGAGAGAAAAAAAAACAGTTTTAACACTCATCAAGACCCATGACAAGCCCAAAACAGCCATGGTTGTTACAGTCAAGCAGGACCTTCCATGACCCCTGGCCTGTCCTCCTCCAGACCCTTGACTCTCTTCCTTCCTGAATCCTGTTTTCTCCGCCATCCTGAACCCCTCACCCCACCTCCTCCTAATACCTACTTCCTCCTGACCCCTGGCTTCTCCTCTTCCTGAACCTCACACGTCTTCCTCCTGACTGTGGCTTCTCCTCATCTTATCTCTCCCAGTTGTGCCAAACATAAGTGGATCAGAAATTGCACTTAGCAAGCTGGAAGAACAGTGCTTGAAGTACAAAGAGCAAAATACAAGAGAAATTGAGCAGTTCTTCTCCCCTCAGGCAACTAGCATATAAACAACCAATTGTAAATGAAAGATGGACTATTACACAGAAATGGATGTTTTTATTGCTAAAAAAAATTGACATTTGGGAGACTAGATACTGGCTTGATTTTAGTTAACAAACATTGCAATTTTTCTGCCTAAGACATTTATCTAAGCAAGAACAAGCTTCATAGCAAGGACTTAAACAGGTGAGGAGGGTTTTTTTAGTTATTTTTGAATCCCAGTCTCCCAATCCACAAATCTGACTCTTAATCTCCAAGCTGCTTGGGTTTTCTTCATATTTATTTATGTATTTATTTGCAGTACTGGGGCTTGAACTCAGGGCCTACACATAGAGCCACTCCACCAGCCCTTTTTTTGTGATGGGTTTTTTTTTAAGATACGGTCTCACAAAGTCAGCCCAGGGCTGACTTTGAACCACAATCCTACAGATCTCTGCTTCCTGAGTAGCAAGGATTATAGGTGTGAGCCACTGGCACCCAGCTTCATATTTATTCTTTACCAAACTGATTTATTTAGTGTCTTAACAACCAAGAGACAGAAGAAGAATGAGAGACTATGAGCAATCTTTGAAGACCAAAGTTTGGGGTTGGAGGTGTGGCTCAAGTGGTAGAGCACTTGCCTGGCAAACAAGGCAGCCCTGAGTTCAAAACCAAGTCCTAGAAATAAATAACTACATACATACATACACACATACATATATACATATGTACCAAAAACCATTAAAAAGAAATAAGGGGTACAGAATTTATTATGGATAGATACCAATCTCTGGTCAATGAATTCTGCCTGTCTGCCAAGGTCAAGAGAAGGAGAATCAATCTAGACAGACCATGAGCTTAGCAATGATGCAGTGATAAGGAATGCTCCATTACCTGTGAGAGACTTGGTATCAGCCTTCCTACTCTCCTGGGTCCCCTTCTGGGCCCACACATGGACCTTGTACTCCATGCCTGGCTTCAGGCCCGTCAGGACGGTGCTGCTCTTCTGCTTCTCCACTGGAACCTCCCTGATCTCTCCATCAGCAGAAGTATAGCTCACCACATACCTGTCAATGTTGGCCTGCACAGGGTCCCAGGAGACAGCGACTGTATTCTCTGTCACCCAGTCAGTCACTAAGTTTTTGGGACTGTCAATGTCTGAAATAAAAATGTTTAGAAAATTCTAAGCTCTGACAGTGGAAGGCACACCACCTTCCCATCACCACAATTTCATCCTTATAACTTAGCATCCTTTCTAGGCTTTCAGCTCTCTAAAACATGGGAGGACCAATGTCTTTCGTAGCATATAGCACATGAAGACTGCGAACTAGACATCTGCCATGATGTCAGTGTGCCTAACATATCATTTCATCAAGGGCCACTTTACTGGCAAGCACTCTAAAAGTAGTATCACAAATAATCCAATAACCAGATCCTACATACATATTGGCTGTGCCTGCTAAAAACAGTGCTATCATACAACTTTAATTCTTCCTTCTGGTGGCCAGTTGGGTTCATGAACAGCTCATCACTGTCTATGGCCATACCACCTGAACGTGCCCGATCTCGTCTGATCTTGGAAGCTAAGCAGGGTTGGGCCTGGTTAGTACTTGGATGGGAGAACAGCTGATCACTGTAAAGGAAGAGCAGCCAGCCCACTGAGCACTACTAGAGCTCACTGTCTGTCTTGCATCTTTAAGATTCTAATTGCAAGGGCTGGAGGTATGGCTCAAGCGGTGGAGCACCTGCCTAGCAAGCACAAGACCCTGAGTTAAAACCCTAGTATAGCCAAAAATTAACAATTAAAATAAATAAAAATAAAATTTTATGCTGGGGGCATGGCTTAAGTGGTAGAGTACCTGTCTACTAAGCACAAGGCTCTAAGCTTAAGCCCTAGTACTGCCAAAAAAAAAAATCTAATTTGTAGTCTCTCATTTCAGGCTACAACCTTTGAGATCATGTATACACAAACTCACAAGCTCAGAATTCAATTCCAATTGGCCATCTCTCTCATTACCTGTGGGGGCCTTGGTGTTTGCCTTCTTGCTCTCTCGGTCTCCTTTCTTGGCCCATACATAGACTTTGTACTCCACACCTGGCTTCAGTCCTGTCAGGACAGTGCTGCTCTTGTCCTTTCCCACCGGAACGTCCCTGGTCACTCCATCAACAGAGCTGTAGCTCACCACATACATGTCAATGTCGGCCTCCACTGAATCCCAGGACACAGTGACCGAGTTCTCTGTTACCCGGTCAGTCACCAGGTTTGCTGGGCTATCGATTTCTTTAAGAAAGACACAAAAGAGGAGGGTAGCCTTTACTATCCTCAGTTCCTGAAAGGCCAACACATGCACAACCAAAATGATAGTCTCAATAAATTTCAGAGTCAACTCTATATGCCAATGTTTGAGAGAATGTAAGGGTTTAATTTAACAAGTGATCAAAAATTCCACAAATGAGTTATCAGCATTTAATGAGTGGAGTTTTTAGACCAAGCCAACATGTAGATCAACTTTGTAAACTTTTTCCATTCCTTTTGGATAAAAAAGAATTGGTCTTCACATACAAATATTTCCTTTACCCTGGATTTACATAACACATTCTTTCAGTTTCTAACACCTTGTACCTGAAAGCAATTACATCTCAGTAATTCTCTCCATCTGCTCTAATATGTTCTTTGGGAACAAAAATATCCTGGAAGCAGTACCTGTCAGTTCTTTTCATATAAAATAGTATATCAGTAGCCAGGGATCCAGGAGAGTTTTAAACTGATGATGTCTGAGGTCTGAGCTAAAAAAAAAAATCTTATTTGGGTTGGCAAAGTATCTCAAGTATAGAGGACCTGCCTAGCAAATTTGAGGCCCTAAGTTCAAACCCCAGTACCAACATAAAAAAATCATATTTGTAGAATCTGCCTGGGTCTATGTGAGTAAACTGGCTTAGAATCTGGGCTCCACCATTCCTTGGTTGCTCACTTGGGACAGGTTGTGTAATTTAAGTCTCTGTTTCTTCACCTACCTTACAGGCTATGATGAATACTAAATATTGCACAGTAAATACCTACAGGTTATTATTATTAATAGCATTTTAGGTGTGAAATATCACTTTCTCCTCAGAATAAACCCTCAGAGTGTCAAAAATTCAAGTAATTTAGCGTATGGTTTAGTGTACGCTTCAAAAACCAAGTTGTCAAAAGGTTGAGCTTTTGCAGAAAGTATATATATTCCAAACCTGAACACCACCTCTGGGTCTGCTCAGTGGAGTACATGGCCAAGTTAGAAGACTGGTCTGGCATTAAGGAGCACAGAATTCAGAATGCACCATAGACACTCATCACCCCCATCACAGACATCAGTCATATAACAACAAATGATCCAGCTCCTGGGACCCAGAGCTGCCGTTAGCACTCCTTCACTGTTGTACCACCATAAGAAACCACTTGAGATGACCTAACCTGTCCTATTGTCACACGTGAGGCCTCTGCACACACTGCTTCCACTGCTAACTCCTATTTGTTCTTCCAAGCTCTATTCAGGCGTCACCTCTTCTGAGAGCCTGTCATGACCCCTCTCCCACCCTAGTCTGTGGTTGGTACCCATTTTTAGGTTCCCACAGGTAGGTTCCTCTAGACCGTAACTCACTCATATCTTTTTCATTCTCTTCTCTAGAGGATAGACAGCATGTAAGCATGAGCCATGAAGTTTATCTTTGTTCCCCCAGAGCAGAGCTCCATAACTGACCCCCACAAGTGGCAATACCCACACCCCAGTGGTTCCCCAGTTGGTAGGGTATTTACTCATCTCACCCTCCCCTGAGAGAGGAGAACATTCTTTTTTAGTCCAACCTCCGTTTGGCGGGGAGGAAGGGTGGATTAGAGATTGAACCCAAGGCCTCTACCATTTGAATTAAGCCCCTAGTCCTTTTGTTTGTTTGGGTTTTTGTTGTTGAGACAGAGTCCTGCTAACTTTGCCTGGGCAGGCCTTGATCTTGAAATCCTCTTGCCTCTGCCTCCTGAGTAGTTGCGATTGCAGGTGTCTTCCAGCACATCTAGCTTCCAACCTCCATTGTCTTAAAAATACTGACCCACATGCTCTTTCTTTTTCATGATGCTCAAAATCCTACTGAAAAGATGTCATGGGTAATGTAAACCAGGACATGGTAATCTACAGACTGCAGACCAAATCTGACCCACTGCAGGGCTTTATAAATAAAGTTTTATTGGAATGCAGTTGTGCCACTTCATTCACATATTATCTGTGGCTATTTTCATACTTTCTTGGCAGAGTTGAGTAGCTGCAACAGAAACTGTTTGGTTCCCAAAGCCAAATATATTTACTATCTGTTCCTTTACAGAAAGTTTGCTGACCCAACCTTTAAACAAATTTAGCTATCACCATCCTTACTGTCAATTTCTCTCCTCCCCTAGAAGTCAGATCAGCTCTCTGAGCCCCTCCACGATCTAGGAAGCGGTGCACCATAACTATTCCAAGGGTCAGATGCTGATCAACATTCTAAGAAGTAATCATTGCTATCACTTATACAGCACTTGTTATGTGCCAAACACTTCATGTGAGTTAACTTACATAACCATCCAATAACCATATGTACGTACGCCCATGCACCATTTTATGTGTAAGAGATTGAGGAACTTGTCCAAAGCAACTTAGCTAGTAAATGGCAGAGCCCAGGTTAAAAACTGGACAGCCAAGCTTCTAGAGCCATTTTCCCGACTATTATACCTGCTTCTCTGATCATCTCTATATTCAGCAACTGCTCAGAACAAGGTCTATACAATACATGAATCATTTTCCTCTGATTTCCTGTCAAATGTTTTAGACCCTCAAGTGGACCCCAGGACCAGGCTGCCCTGAATTGAAGTAAGCACCAGAGAAGAATTTAGCAGAAAGAATGGCCAGGTTGTGTCCCAATATAGTCTCAGAACCCCTGTAGGTCTGAGCTGAGCAGAATGACTGGATGAAGTATGACACTTACGTTTCTGAAAGTTTAAAGGCAGAATCAGTATACTTGATGAAGGCTGATTCAGGAGGCAAACCATTCCCACAGTTTGAAAAAGAGCTCCAGATTACATGCAAAGTGCCGGTACAGTCACTGCAAACTGAGCTAAGCATTCAAATTCACAGCCAGTCTAATGTTTTGAGTTGTCACATTTCAAAAGTGTTACTCTACTCTAAAAGAATTACATATGGAATTCCAGCCCAACTAAGTATGACCTATATCAAATTAAAAGTCTGGCCTTTTCAGTTTAAAGTATAAAAGGAAAAAAAAATCACAATTATGAAATTCAAAATTGCTTTTGCAAGTATCCCCTATCCCTGTGAACAAAAAGATCTGATGCCAAATGGCAATGACCTCCTGATTCAAACATCAACCTTCTCCTTGCCCTGAAGAAGCCTGTCATGTCCTCCTTCTTCCATTACCTGTTAGGGCCTTGGTGTCGGCTTTCTTGCTCCCCTGGTTGCCCCTTTCGGCCCACACATACACTTCGTATGCCTCTCCTGGCTTCAGGCCGGTCAGGATAGTGCTGCTCTGGTCCTTGGGTACCGCCCTCTCTTTGGTCTCCCCATCAGGAGAGATGTAACGCACCACATACTTGTCTATGTCAGCCTTTGCCGGGACCCAGGAGACTTCAGCTGTATCTTCAGTCACTTGATTAGTGACCACATTGGTTGGACCATCAATTTCTTCATAAAAATACACAAGAAAGAAAATTTAGAGAAATCATTGGGATGGTTAAGATCACAGATGCTTTCAGATCTAGTTTGTCTAGGGGAACTAGTTCAGTAGTCTACACAACGTAAGGTGGGGGCGGCTCTCATTCATGACACGTGGACAATTGGCCTCTGCTTGAACCCTAAACTGAGAATTGGTCCCTAATGGACAAAACAGTCCATTCTATTTTCAGATCACTAAACATAGAGAACTTCTTTAGTGTAAACCTCTTGAAGTGTAACTCCTTCAAAGTGTCTGCCCGAGGCAGACAGATGGAACACCTGTAATTCCTCTTTCAGGAGACTACCCAGCAATTATTCGAGTATTTTAATTTCCTTTCCTAATTCTCCTCCAATCAAAATAACTCACCTTTCCTATATTCCTCCCAAATTATAGTTTCTAGCCCTGGCAATTACATCTATAGTGTCCCTTTCTTTCTTTTTCCAAATAAAAATACCCAAAACTCAATACGTTTTATTTCACAGTAATATATTAAATGTCCATTATGTGCCAGGGAATGTAATAGCACTTAGCAGTTAACATTGAATAAAACCATCAAATCCCTGCTAATGTAGAGTTTATATTCAAAAAGGACCAAACCAGAACAATACACCAACCATAACCTAGAGATACATGTGCTTCCCAATAGCATATCCCTAGCCCATGGCCTTAGAAAATCCTTAATCATTTTCACATGTGTCCCTACTAGCCTGTGTCAATCTTTGGGGTTTTTGACCTTTGTCAACACTGGGCCATTGGGCACTTGCTAAGTACCAGCACCAGAGATTCTACTTCAGAAGGTCTCAGATAAGCCCTGGCACCTGTTCTTAGCTCTTCTTCTTTCTTCTTTTTTCCCCCCAAGGGAGTGTGAGGTGGTTTGTTTGTTTGTTTGTTTGCTTAGATAGGGTCTTGCCATGTAGCACCCGCTAACCTCAAACTCACAATCCTTCGCCTCAGCCTCTAGAATGCTGGTATAATAGGCATGCATCACCATGCCTAGCTCTCTATTTTTAAAGTAAATATGAGCTTGAGGCCAGCCTGGAGTATTGTGTGTCTCAATAGAGACCCACATTATTCCTAATTTTGCATCTCTAATACATGTCCTGAATCCAACATTTATCCTTGTTATAGTTTTATCCTTCCATTTATAATTTAGTTTTCTTTCCTACATGTCTACTTCCTCATCCAACTTCTTGTCAATGAGGAACTTTATAAGTAAGCCATCTGAGTACATCCATCAGGTCGTTGACAGTGATGTGGCACAGAATAAAGCTGTGGCACACCACCAGAGCTCCCCCTGAATGCAGATCAGATCCTTTTGGAAAAGACACACAAAACAGGATCTTACTCCCAGACACCTAGACAATTTTCCTTCCTCCTGTGCTGCTCTTGGTCTCTTGGCTAATGGTTCTTTAGAGAGAAGTTACAATTCCAGAGCGTCTCATTTTTTAATGAGACACAAATGCACCTTTCTCAAACACAGTGGCAGTGTTTCGTTTGGGTGAAAAAAAGTGAAATATATCACAAGAGGCCATGCATATTTCATTTAGTAAGTCAACTGCCATTTCCTCAGCACAGATTAAGGGATGGGTACTTTTTACCATGATACTTTATCAAATCTCATAGTAAAAACACAAGGTATTTACCATATTTCCCATGGTTTGGTTTGGAAAATGAATGAAGGCTACCCCTTTTAGAGTACTATGCCAAACTAATAGAGGTTGGATAACTTGCTTAAGAGCCCTTAGTTGGGAAACTGTAGTCACTGACTCATCCCATGGTCATTGAATGCCTACTGGAGCCGGGTATTCAGCCATGTTATAGGTTGAATTGTGTTCCTCCTCCCAAAAAACCATGTTGAAGTGCTATCCTCTTGTACCTTGCAATGTGACCTTATTTAGAAATAGTCTTTCCAGAGATAATCAAGTTAAAATGATGTCATTTGGGTTGATGCAATTCAGTATGACCGATATAAAAGAGGGAAATTTGGACACAGAGATAAGCATGCACAACAGAAAGATGATATGCAGACACAAAAGAAGATTGCCATATGACTTGAGTGGTGTCAAAGAAATCTCTCTCTCTCTCTCTCTCTCTCCTCCTACTGGGCATCGAACCCAGGGCCTCATGAATGCTATGGAAGTATTCCACCATTTGACCCATGCCCCCAGCCCTTTTCTTTATATGCTTTTTGTTTTGAGACAGAGTCTTGCTAACTTTGCTGGAGCTGGCCTTAAACTCAATTCTCTGCTTCCACCTCCTGAGTAAGCTGGGATCATATGCATGCACCACCATGCCTGGCCAAAATACTCTCTCTTATGGGGCTTACATTCTCTTGGGTAGAAATAAACATTAAGCAAGTAGTAGAGTATTATGAAGTCAAATAAGGCAAAATAAGGGGATTATAAAATGATAAACATGTGCTGGAGGTATAGCTCAGTGGTAGAGGGAAGGAAAGAAAGGAAGGGAAGGAACAAAGGAGAGAGGAAGGAATGCATAAGGGGATGAAAGTAAGAAAATGATGAACAGAGGATAGTCATGATCTTAGACAAAGAAATCAAGAAAGATCTCTTACCTAGAGGATAACATTTAAACAAAAGACCTAAATGAAATGATGCAGCCAGTCATGTGCAATTTAAGGCAATTTCATTCTAGGTAGAAAGAGCAGCAAATTTTGTTTTGTTTTGTTTTCCAGTACTATAGAGTAAACTGGCCTCATACTTGCTAAGTAAGAAGTTCACCACTTGAGCAGCATCTCCAGTCCAAGGCCAGTGCATCTGCACAAAATAAGTTGAGTGGCTGAAGGTGAGGCCAGTGAGGTAAGGGAAAAGTGACTGTGGATAGCCTAGAAGACCATTTTAAATGATTTTGGCTTTTATATGAAATGATGAGAAGTCTATGGAGTTTTGCAAAGAAGAATAAAATCATCTGACATGTGTCATAAAAGGGGAGAGTAACTCCTGGGGAGAGTACAGAATGTACATAAAGAGTAGCAGTCACCTAGGAGGCTGCAGTAACAGTTATGTGCAAGATGCCAGAGTGAAGACAACCATGGCATGGGAAAGAATTAGGAATTTTCAAAGTTATCATAATGATGATATGAGTTATCATAATCTGCTGATAGACTTGATATGGGATACAATAAATGACTCATTGGTTCTGAGTGATTTGCAGAATGGAGTGGTAATGTACAGCCATGGGGATATCTAAGGGAAGAAAAGGTTTATTACTGATAGGGAGTAGGGAGATGGACAAGACCAAGAGTTTGCTTTGGGACATTTTAAGAATAAGAGCCAAGATTTGAACCCATTCTTTTTTATCAGATTATATTTTTCTTTTCTTTCCTTTTTTTGTGGTACCTGGGATTTTTGGTAGTTTGAACTCAAGACTTCACACTTGCTAGGCAGCACTCTACCACTTGACCCATGCTTCCATATAGTCCTATGCCACTATATAAGTAACACTATAATCAGTCAATTCTTATGGAACTATTACTAATAATAAGTTGTAAGTAAAATGAAGTGTGATCTGAAATCCAACAGCAGAAGAAACTGGAGAGACAACTGAGGAGAGAAAATGGTCTTGGCCTATTGTCTCTGGGAGACAGGTACTGGACATACTTTATAGGCAGAGTAAGTCTCATGGAATGAGAGTGGGCAGTCAGGATGAAGATGCCCATATAACCCCATCCAGGACCTTGGGAAATGGGAGCAAGCTCTAAGAAGATGTTCAGGAGAAAGCATGTACAACAATAAAGAAGACTCCCTTCCCACCATCTTGCACTTTCCTGTACAAGAAATGATTCTGGGAGAAATAGTAATGAGCCAAGAATGGAAAAGTAAGATGAAGGAGAAGAGTGAAAGAACTCTGTAATGGTCTTAGTCTTGAAGTTCATGGTCCTCACCTTCTCCAAAGTGACCTACATCTGTACAACCCAGGGTGACAGCAGTGCCTCCTACCTCCTCTCTTTACCCCAGATCAGTGTTTTTCCCCATAAGTTTCCAGGCCAACAGCACAGGCCCATGGCTTTATAGGCCTGGAGCTGCCTATGTGTGCTGAGAAATCCATCACATTCACATAAGCAGATAGAGGAAATAGCAACAAGTCCTGGAATTTCTTTTCCCCCAACAGTCTCAGAATACGCGAAAGATGGAGCAGTGTTACCATAGAAAAAGCTACATAAATTCTTTAGCTTTTCTTGCTGTTAATTGACTTAAAAATCTCTACTTTTGGAGGTCACACAGCTGAGCAATACATTATTAGTCTCCCACTATCTTTGCTATAGCTAACACCTCTGCCATGAGGGTCACGATGATAACAGCTACCTAGGCTAATTTTCAGGGACTAGAAGACCACTTTTGCTGAAAACACAGGCTCTTCACTTGGATATTGAAATGTGTGACAGGTAACAGGAAGGAGGAAGGAAAGAAAGAAGGGCAAAAAGAGATGGCACCCAAGTTCGTGGAAGATCTCGGCCCATTCCAAGAAAAGACATGAATATTCTTCCCCTTTATTACCCTATAGCTCTACCTCATTATTTTTTATCTATATCTGTAACCCCTCAACTCCCTGGAGTTGAGAAGTTGATTTGAGAGCAAAAACTTCCACTTCTCTATTCTTTGGCCACTGAATAAAGCCACTCTTAAAGCATTCATCTTTCAGACACTGGTTTCCCATGGAATGAACTTCTGGACTTGGATTTAGTAATAGTAGAGCCAGGAAAAGGCATCTTACCTATAAAGAGTAAGAAGAAAAAATAGAATCATACTATGCCAGGGTTATTGAAGACTTGGAATTTTAACCCCAAGAAGAAACATGACTTCTTCATGCTCACAGAGCCAGGTAGAGGCAGAACCATGCTGCAACTCAGAGCTTTCTTCCCCTTCTCACTCCCCTTTCTCTCAGTTCCCTAATAATGAGAACTTAAACAAGAAAAAAAGCTCTTCCCAGAGCTCTCAGGATGGAACAAGAT